TGCAGGATTAGTTACTTTCAGGATTCATGTTCTGAGGAAAAGTGCCTGATTTGTTCTATGTGGATCAAGTGTCCAGTGTTGGCCAGGATAGAAAAGAATATCTTACTCTACAGTCCTGCCAAGAATGCAATTAATGGGGAGGGGTAGATCCCCAAACAAAATGGATCCTGTCACCCAGGCAGGGGAAATGAGTGTAGGACAGTCAAAAACAATAGTTGTCCATCGCAAAGGTCAAGTAAGATGAGGACAGTACAGTGTCCATTGGATTTGGCAACATAAGGATCATGGGTTATCTTTACAAAGAGGTTTTGGTGAATTGATGGGGTTGAGTAATGATTGGAGATGAGAAAGTAGAGACAACTCTTGATGAATTTAGCTTGTAGAGAATTAGGATTGTAGAGAAATGGGGAGGTGAATGGAATGATTCAAGGCTATAGGAACGGAGCACCCAGAAGATCCTGGGAAGAGAAAGGAAGGCCTAGGGTGAATCCTATGGTTTTAAAACTCATTCTGGCTTCACAAGTCTATATTCCAAATTTCTTTTGTTAGTACCTGTTACCACTTTATCATTAGAATTTAATCAACTCCCATAATGTGCTAGGTATGATATAGAAAGTTACCTCGTTTTCCTGTTCCCAGCACTAACATGTTTAAACAGCTCTTTTAAAATAAATTTTAATTTTTGGTCTTTGTAATTTACTAATATCAGTAGAGTTTTGTTTTCTTTCTTTTTTTTTTTTTTAAATATATTTTATTGATTTTTCACAGAGAGGAAGAGAGAGGGATAGAGAGTTAGAAACATCGATGAGAGAGAATCATCGATCAGCTGCCTCTTGCATACCCCCTTCCGGGGATGTGCCCGCAACCAAGGTACATGCCTTTGACCGGAATCAAACCCAGGACCTTTCAGTCCGCAGGCCGACGCTCTATCCACTGAGCCAAAACGGTCCCAGCTTGTTTTCATTTTTTAATGATTACTAACCTGTCTGGGTCTATAGCTGTGGTCAGCCACAAATGGCGATGGAGAAAGCTGAGAAGCAGATTGGCCCATGGTCAGAGAGACTAGTCATTTTGGTAGAAATCATGTGCTTTATTTTAGCCTTTGTAGGAACGGTGACCAGAGTTGGGGAGAGCACAATGTTTCTCAGTTTCTTTTTCCTCTACCCACCCACCTTCCACTTTTTTCTAAAACTGGGTCAAGATCAAAGCATTGCTGACTTTCCTCAACTTAGAGCAGTACAGCTCTTCTGGGCTTTGATTTCTAGGGTGGAATTACTTTGCCTTTTATTTTTATTTACTTTGTATTCTCACTTGAGGATATGTTCTTATTGATTTTAGAAAAAGAAAGGGAGGGAGAGAGAAAGAGAAACATCAATGTGATTGGTTGCCTCCTGTACGCATTCAGGGATCAAACCTGAAACCTAGGTATATGCCTTGACCGGGAATTGACCTTTTGGTGTTCTGGACAATACTAGCCTGCTGAGCTACCCAGGGTCACTTTGCTTTTTAGAGGTTAATACAATGATGTTCTTTGTCTTTTATGAGGCAAAGTAGTAAAAGCTCCTGGTCATCTTTCCCTTGGAAATACACTCCCTTCTGCATAGTAATCAGGACTGAGACCAGGAGACTTATATCATCTCTGTTTCCCTGTTGCTTGCTTACTTTGAATTGGTTTTCTCTCCCAGTATGTGGGAGGTCTACATTGGGGTTTGGGACCAAAATCTTTTTGTTGCTGGTCATTTGCCTAGTTTGTAATATTTTCCTTTGCAGAATTCACAGGGAGATAAGATTCAAGTAATCTATTGATAGTATTTGGCTACAAAAAGAAATGGTGTACCAATACATGCTACATACAATAAGGATAAACCTTGGAAACTTCATGCTAAGTGAAAGCAGTCAGGCACAAAAGATCACATATATAATTCCATTTATAAAAATGTCTAGAGTAGATAAATCCATACAGGCAGAAAATAGATTAGTCGTTGCCTAAACCTGCTCAGTGAAGGGTTTGGGAGAAAATGGGTAGAGGCTTTCTTTTTTTGGGATAACAAAAATATTATCAAATTGATTGTGGTTATGTTTGCACAACTGAATATACTAAAAACATTTTACTTGTCCTCTTTAAAAAAGTGAATTATATGGTATGTGAATTATATCTCAGTGAAGCTGTTATTAAAAAAAAAGTTGCATTGCAGTTTTTGAAATCTGTTACATGGGTAACTGGAATTAGGAATAGAATTGAATTGCATTTGCCATCACACTTAGCTGGTGCTGTTAAAGATGAGGTCCACAGGACATTTACTATGGCACTGAGTGCTCCAGAGCACATTCTTTTGAGGTCATCCTGCCTATTGTACTGCATCCGACTATTCTCTCTTTTGTTTACACAGCACATATAACAAACCACAAATTTGGATACTAAAATTGTATGGCAGTTCCTAGTAATAATACAGATACCCATTTATTCCAGAAAGTGATTGTTCTAATTTTTAAGATTATCATCGAAATGAAAACTCTAAAAGGGATCATAGATAACTATGGATTGAGAAGTGATAATGCAGAGGTTATCCTTAAACTATAAGAGAAGTGGCAGCTTCCTTTTCTAAATTGTTTCTACAGCTTTGCAAAAGTGTTTAAGATCTGCTATATCTGATTTTTCCCTTGTTCAGAGCACATATTCTTTTTAAAAAAAATATATTTTATTGATTTTGTACAGAGAGGAAGGGAGAGAGATACAGAGTTAGAAACATCAATGAGAGAGAAAGTCATCGATCAGCTGCCTCTTGCACACCCCCCACCGGGATATGCCCGCACCAAGGTACATGCCCTTGACTGGAATCGAACCTGGGACCCTTCAGTCCCCAAGCCGATGCTCTATCCATTGAGCCAAACCGGTCCCGGCAAGAGCACATATTCTTATCCTTTATTTTTCATTAGGTAAGGAAACAGAAACCCATCCCTAGAGCCAGCACCATTAGTTTCTTAAAAAAAAAAAAAAAAAAAAAATTGAACAAATATAAATAATTGTCTAGTTTCTTAAAGACTTACAATCCTGGGATCTCAAAATTGGAGGAACATTAAGAATAACTGGTAATTTCTTGGCTTCTTGAGATGAGCTGGAAATGGGAAAAGAGAATTCTTAAGCCCTGCTGATTCAAGATCAAATTTAAGAGATGTAATCATGCCAACCTCCTCTGTGGTAGGAGTTTGGCTCTGCAGTTTAATAACTTGGACAAGTGATACATTGACCCTTGGTTCCTTTCAATGTAAAAGAGGGATGGATAAGCCACATTGAGCTATTGTACTACATAAGAAAAACGTGTGTGGCCGAAATCGGTTTGGCTCAGTGGTAGAGCGTCGGTCTGTGGACTGAAAGGTCCCGGGTTCGATTCCGGTCAAAGGCATGTACCTTGGTTGCGGGCACATCCCCAGTGGGGTGTGTGTAGGAGGCAGCTGGTCGATGTTTCTCTCTCATCGACGTTTCTAGCTCTCTGTGTCTCTCCCTTACTCTCTGTAAAAAAAAATCAATAAAATATATTAAAAAAACAACAAAACAAAACGTGTGTGAAAGGAAAAGTTGGAGATTTACGCTACTTTATGTGGGAAACAACATTTTATTTACATCTTGTCAATTTTTTAATGATGAAAAATACAGATTTCTGGCAGCTAACAAAAGGGTGAGGAAGGAACTATCAGGGCAATAACACTTATTCAGGTACACCTAAATGCTCTATTTGTAGAGTAAATTTTTCTAACTTTTCACTTTACCTTGGTATTAATTGAAAGCTTTCATCTTGAGTGCATTTTACACTGTATGATCACTTCGTATATAGTAGTGCTCCCAATTTTAACAGTAATTGTACAAAATAAAGTGAACTCACTTTACCAAAATCCCAGGGGGAAAATTAAGCTATTCAAAAGTAAGAATTTAAATTATGGGGAGAAAACAACTGCATCAGGGTCCTGAGAGTACTACTTTGAGAAAATATTATTCAAATTTTGACTGATTCTATAAATATTTTTAGAAAAATGGGGAAATTGAGAAAATAGTCAAACCAGCCTGCCACCCAATTAACTACTATCATAGCTGTGTGAATTTCCTTTCACTTTTTCTTATTCTTACCTTAACTAGTTTTAATACTGGCAAGTGTGTAATTTCATATATATATATATTTTTAATATATTTCTTTATTGATTTCAGAGAAGAAGAGAGAGAGAGAGAGAGAGAGAGAGAGAGAGAGAGAGAGAGAGAGAGAGAGAAACATCAGTGATAAGAGAGGATCATTGATTGGCTGCCTCCTGCATGACCCCTACTGGGGATTCAGGCACCAACCTTTGGCCAGAATCGAACCTGGGACCCTTCAGTCCACAGGCCGATGCTCTTTCCACTGAGCCAAACTAGCCAGGGCTCATATTTTGTTTTTGTAATTTTGTAATTTAGCCAACATTTTCTAATTATTTGGTATAATTTAATCAACACTCCTCAATTGTTGGGTATATGCATGTATTTATATGTTGTTTGAAGTTTGTTATCACAGATGATAAGATGAAATTCTTTGGACATACAGCTTTTCTCATATTTAAGAACTTTCGTTAGAATAGATTAGTAAAAATAGAAATTCTACATCAAAGTAAAACTTTATGGGTTTTGATACCTACTGGGTTTGTTCTATTTTAAAACAATTGTTTTAGGAGGAATTCTTTATTACTTGCTGTGGATACACCATGGGGGGAAACAGTGGAAAAGGACATGAAACTTATGATTATTACAGTAGATAAATCTTTGTTTATTTAGCTACATTTTTCCTTTGCTCTTAATATTTCTCTCTCTCTCTTTCCCTCATTTTAGGCTAAATTGATTACCCACCCAGCACAGCATCTTACAGGAAAAGCATAGCATATCCTAGAGGAATATGAGCATAAACTGGAAGGTGTCATTGACTTTGAATTAAAATTTTAACTTGTTCCCTGAACAGCTATAGGATTTGGAAGCTGAATCAATGTTATCAGATGAGTTAGAATCCAAACCAGAGGTGAGCCAAATCAGCTTGTTTTCTTTTTGGTGGGCTGTATTCCAAAGGTTGTATTTATTTAGTTTGGGGGTCAACAGGCTTTTTCTGTAAAGGGCCAGATAGTAAAATTTTAGTCTTTGGGGCCATATTGTTTTGATAGTAACAATTTTATTATTTTTCTCTTAGTAAGTACTTTTTCAAAGATTTAAGAATTCCATTTTTACCTCATTACTTTTAATATTTGGTACTTAATAAGAATAAAGTTATACATCTAGATAATTATATGACAAAATTTTATATTTTATACATGGCATATGTGGGTAATGTGTATATACATATGTAAATATTTACTACCACAAACCACTTTTTTTATTAATTTTGCATATGTCTGAAAGTATTTTCTTTCTAAATGTAATTGGAGGACTTAAACTTTTTTAAAAAAAAAGAATTTTTATTGATTTTTAGAGAGAGAAGAAAGGAGAGGGAGAGAGAAACATGAGTGTGAGAGTACAGCATCAATTGGCTGCCTCCCACATATGGTCTAACCAGGGATCAAATCTACAACCGAGGTATGTGCTCCAACCAGGACTCAAACCTGCTACCTTTTGGTGTATGGGACAATGTTAACCAACTGAGCCACACTGGCCAGGACAACATTTTTTTTTAAAATATCTTTTTACTGATTTTAGAGAGAGAGGGAGAAAGAGAAGCATCGATCTCCAGCCTTCTGCATGCCCCCTACTGGGGATCAAGCTGCAACCTGAACATGTACCTTGATCAGGAATTGAACCAGCAGCCTTTCAGTGCACGGGATGGTCCTCAACCAACTGAGCTACACCGGTCAAGACAACATTTAAAATTTTTATTTATTTTTCTCATTTTAATTTAAATATATCTGTGTTACATAATGAAAAGTCACTAAATTTGGAATCAAATTACTTAAGTTTGAAGACTGACACTGCTTCTAACTAGTCTTATGACCTTAGAACGTCATCCAGTGTCTTCAACTTGATTCCTTATCTTTAAAATACATGTTCACAAGGAGGCATGGATCAGACATCTGAGGCATTCTCAGAGGGAGAGTAGGGGAGGGTGGGGATAAAGGGGAGAGATCAATCAAAGGACTTGTGTGCATACATAGGAGCCTAACAAGGTCAAGGACAACAGGGGGGTGGGGGCATGCATGGTGAGGGGTGAGGGATGGGAATGGGGGGGATGAGAACAAATATGTGATACCTTAATCAATAAAGAAATTAATTAATTAAATAAATAAAAATAAACAAGGCATGCAGCCTGAAAAAATAAAATAAAATAAAAACACCAATATCTCAAATGACCTCCCAAAGGAAAAAAATAAAATAAATAAAAAATAAAATACATGTTCAAGCTTACCGATTTATAGTGAGGCTTAAAAGAGCCAATACTCAGAAAAGTGCTTTATAAAATGTAATCGGTACAATGCGGTTGAGTTTTTGTTTTGTTTTTTTGTTTTTTTAAATATATTTTATTGATTTTTTACAGAGAGGAGGAGAGAGGGATAGAGAGCTAGAAACATTGATGAAAGACAAACGTCGACCAGCTGCCTCTTGCACACACCCGGGGATGTGCCGGCAACTAATGCCCTTGACCGGAATCGAACCTGGGACCTTTCAGTCCGCAGACCGACGCTCTACCACTGAGCCAAACCGGTTTCGGCGCGGTTGAGTTTTTAATAGCCATCATTTAAAAATATAATTACTTTTATTATTTTTTTGGTGGAAGATGACAGAGGTTAAATTAATTACATAATTCAGCCTTTCTCCAGAACAGATGCTTGATAAAAAGAACTTTAAATTTTGTTTGTTGTTAATTTAGTTTTATAATGAATATGGCTGAGACTAGTGAGTATTTAAGACTTGATTACATCATCATCTTTTGGGAAATTCAGGTGTTTATAACCATTCCTAACAACTTGTATATCTTTTTGTTGTTTCCCCTTTCCCTAGCTCCTGGTACAGTTTGTTCAGAATACATCCATCCCATTGGGACAGGGGCTAGTAGAATCAGAAGCTAAAGACATTACTTGCTTGTCCCTCCTTCCAGTGACTGAGGCCTCAGAATGCAGTCGGCTAATGTTACCAGGTAAAAATTAAGAACACTACAGTTACGATAAATGAGTCCTAAGAGCTTAGCATACTCTATGGTACTGGTGGAATGCATTAACTGATTTTGTAACAGACTGGTGGAAACTGTAAAAATTAGGAATCGTGGAGAAAAAGGAGCCGTGGGAGTCATAAGTGCATTGATAGTTTACACCAGAGGAATGGCGATGATCACCATGGAATATGAAAGTGAGAAGAAAAGAAGGCCAAGGTAGAACGCCTTGGAGGGAAGACGGGAAGTCTAGAGTAGTATGGGAATACTGGTATAGAGTACAGGCATGGAGCCCCGGGGAACAGTCAATGTGTCACATGTTCCTAAGAGGCCCAGTGAGATAAGTCAACAAGGCCATTGTTGACCTACCAGGACCTGTTCCATGGAAGGGGTAGAAAGCCAGGCTGCGGTGGATTGTGATACTTGTGTAAAAAGTAAGTATAGAGGAAGTAGCTATACTTTTGTAAAGACTCTCCTGCTATGGGAAGGAAAAAGAGAAGGATGTAAGATAGATGGAAAAATTCTTTTCTCAGATTTAAAATATTTAAGGGTGTTTTTTTTTTCCTAAAAGAAAAGAGCCAGTTAGAGAAGTTGTGGACAGAAAATGTGGATAATTGGTGAGAAGACTTCAGGAAAGGTAGAATGAAGTAGAGTGCTAAGCATAGGGAAGTGAGGTTATTAGCTGTGGATGGGAAGAGGGTGATCCAAAGCTAGTAATCTTGACTATTACCAAGGAGAACATTATTTTTAGATGCAATGAATTCTTTGTTTCCTGGTCCTTGTTTTAAAATTTGGAATACTAATGTTAAATCAGGTGAGGATCAATATTTGTTGTTGACAAATTATTTGTTATAGTCTTCTGGTTACTGTCTTCTAGTGGTGTTCCTTTTTCTTTCATTTTTTTCAAGTGACTTTAAATCTTTTTCAGTGTTTAAAGATTCAAGAAGGGCAGATATTGTATAATGAACTAACCAAATGTTGATGCAAGGTTTCCCTAACTAGCTTCAAGTTTTTCCACATTTCCTACCTTTCAATTCCCATTTTTCTAATAGTATATTGGGAGTCTTTCCATATGTTTATGAATTTTCAATGTATGGAAATTTCTACTTGCTAATAAATTTTGATCTTCATTAGGCTTTCCCCCTGAATTCTCTCCCAATTTTAGCTTGATTTTATTTTTTATTGAGTATTAACATATGTTTCCTTCCCCCCCAGTTTTAACTTATTGAATAAATATTTAACAATAATAAAGGAAATGAAAACAGAAACAAAAGCATGTCTTCTTTTGCACATTACCTTCTTTAGTTTTAATTTGATTTAAAATATTTTTTTTTCTTTTTCTTTTTTTAATATATTTTATTGATTTTTTACAGAGAGGAAGGGAGAGAGATAGAGTTAGAAACATCAACGAGAGAGAGCCATCAATCAGCTGCCTCTTGCACATCTCCTACTGGGGATATGCCCGCAACCAAGATACATGCCCCTGACCGGAATCGATCCAGGGACCCTTCAGTCCTCAATCCGACGCTCTATCCACTGAGCCAAACCGGTCTTGGCTGATTTAAAATATTTTCAAGAACCAATTATAGATAATAAATACAAACTCATGCACTCACCTCTTAGCTCATGAAATACAATCTTACAATAGCAAATGTATCTGCACAAACCTCCCTAATCTCATTCCTCTCCCTCAAGTATGTGTGTATCATTCTATGGATGGCCTGCATGTTTTCTTTTTACTTGAGATATATGATAGATTCAGAAAAGTATAAAACCATATGGATATACATATTGAATTATTGTAAGGAAGATACCAACCACTTAATAAAGAAGTAGAACATTGCCAGCTCCTAAGCCCTCCATAGGAGCCCTCTCTGATAAAGATAACCTCTGCTGTTCATAGGTCACCACTGTCCTTAGCTTTTGAGATAGTTCTTTGTTTCCAAGTTTCCAGTAATTACCCAAATCTAAGTAACCCAGTTTGATTTTAGCTGTTTTTGGACTTTAAATTCATGCAAGTGTGTTGTACCTTTCTTCCTTTGCTAGTACTCTGTATTTGTGAGATTAATCTGAGTCATTCTTATGTGTGTAGCTATGGTTTGTTTGATTTCATTGCTCTAGGGTATTCTGTTATATGAGTGTACACAATATTGATGCCACAATTGATGAATATTCACTTATTTTCTATTGTTCAGTGACAAACTGTGTCTCTATGAGCTTTATTTTAAAAAATTTTGTGGTAAAATATACATAACGAAATTTACCATTTAACCAATTCTATGGCATTAGTAAGTGTATTTATATTGTTGTGCAACTTCATTAGGCTTTGACATGGCAAAACTGCCCCTCGGCTTCCACTTCTATTCCTATAATTTTGTCTATTGTCCCCTTAAAATAGGAAAAATGTTATCTGCCTTTGGTAAAGATGAAGGAGACCCTAGAAAACAATGGATGCTTCAGCACTGTAGTTCAGTTCCTCATTATATTGCAACCAAAACCTTTGTAAATTCATCTCCATATTACAAAAAAATTAGAAAGTATTTTGATTATTTCTTTATATCCAGTGTAAATCTAGGCTATAATGAAACATAGTGATGATTCTATAAAATTTCAGTTATTTCCCCAGCTATGCTCCCCCCTCTCCCTCAGTATTTCACCAGAACTGTCACATACATGGAAGGGATCTCTCCCAAAGAAAAGTAATTTAAAGTTTAGAGCCTATTCTTAGGTTAGTATTTATTGTATAACCATATTTTTTAAGGGAAAAGTACTGATTTCTGGCCTCAAAGGACAAAGGTCTATAATTCCAAATGTGGATGGTTGGTTATTAGTTACTGCCAGGTGTTAGAGGAGTATCCCTCACTTTTTGGCTTACTCCCTGTAGAACTTAAAGCCATCTCTTTTGGCTTTTTTTTGTATTTTGGGGCAATTTTTGTATTTGTAAAATGAAAATGTTGTCTGTTCCAATATGGGTGTTAGATACTAAGGAATGTTACAAGGGTGCAATGTATCAAAATTGTGAGCTCTTGGGAAATAGGTGCTTTATAAAACTTCACTATTTTTTCCTTTACTAGATGATACTCCAAATCATACTAACTCCTCCAAGGAGATCCCTCCTTCAGCTGTGTTAAGAAGCCTTCAGGTGAATGTGGGCCCAGACGGAGAAGAGACAAGGGCTCAGACTGTACAGAAGTCCCCAGAGTTTTTGTCCACTCCAGAGTCCCCTAGCCTGTTGCAAGATCTACAGCCAAGTGATAGCACTTCTTTTATTCTTCTTAACCTAACAAGAGCAGGTATTTTTTTTATCCTTTTCTGAACTCTGCTCATGCTTAAAAAAATTATGGTGGGCCATATTTAACTCAGTCATGCTTGAAATGAAGCTTTATTATGTTATTACTTTGGAGAATTGGTATAGTTTAGTGATCAATTCAATGTGGATAGAGCGAGGAAAGACTCTAGGGTGACTCAAAAGTTTCTGGTATGGGAAATTAGGTGGTGCCGGTCACCAAGATAAAGAAAAGGGCTGGAGGGAGGATGATTAGTTCTTACCTGTGCCTGTTGATGTTGAGCTATGGGAGGGACGTCTCTATCCTTCCGGTAGAGAGCTGTAGAGAGGTCTGTTATGAAGTATGTAGTTTTGGTGCTTATCAGCATTCAGGAACTGTATGAAACAGTGAGCAGGATTCTTTGATTCAGTAGTAGTCTAGAACTGTGGTAGGCAAACTGCGGCTTATGAGCCACATGTGGCTCTTTGGCCCCTTCAGTGTGGCTCTTCCACAAAATACCACGGCCTGGAAGAGTCCATTTTGAAGAAGTAGCATTAGAAGAAGTTTTAAGTTTAAAAATTTGGCTCTCAAAAGAAATTTCAGTCATTGTACTGTTGATATTTGGCTCTGTTGACTAATGAGTTTGCTGACCACTAGTCTAGAACATCAACAGAAAAATAGGCAAATCTGGGACTATGGGAAAAAACCCAGACATTTATGAGGATAACAGAAGAATAGGAAGGTGAGGAGGAGGTAGGAAAGGGTAAAGGGGATCAGATATATGGTGACAGGAGATTTGACTTTGGTTAGTGTACATACAATGCAATATACAGATGATGTGTTATATAACTATACACTTGAAACTTATATAATTTTATTAACCAATGCCATCCTAATACATTTCATTTAATAAGGAAATAGAATGTGAGTGGTGTAGAGGCATCCAAAGGAGGAGAACGTTTTAAAGAAGAAAAGTTACTAAATTATGCCAAATACTTCAGAATGGGCTAGTGAGATGAGGACTAGTGACTTTAGCAAGAGCAATTGTTTTTGCAGTAGTAGATAGAGGTGGAGGCCAGGGTTAAAGAGATGGGGAGTAGCCCTGGCCAGATGGTCAGTGGTTAGAGCACTGGCCTGTGGACTGAAGAGTGGCAGGTTCTATTCCTGGTCAAGGGCATGTACCTTTATCACAGATTGCCCAGCCACAGTAGGGGCACCTACAAGAGACAACCAGTCCATGTGTCTCTCTCTCTGCCCCCTCCTCCTTCCTTCCTTCCTTCCTTCCATTTTTTCTATAAGTCAATGGAAAAAATATCCTTGGGTGAGGATTAACAAAGAGGGGGGCGGGGATGGGGAGTAGGTGGCAGGTGAGAAAGTGAATATGCAAGTTAGCAGTTACACTTGTTTAAGAAAGTTAACTTTGAAGGAACAGATGAAGGTGGACAGCTAGAGAAGTACTTGGGACTTGTTCTTTTAAAAAAGTAAAGATGGAAGAGACTTGAGGCTTCAACAGGTTTAAAGACTGTGAGAGAGGCCTTAAGCTGACCGGTAGAGAAGAGACAGCTGAAGGAGACATGGGATAATAAAGGGCAGGATGGGGATACAGAGGAAGGGGTTAGCTGGGGTGCCAGGAAGGACAACTTTGCCATGGAAATAAAGGAGGTAAGATGAAGACAAGTCTGTAGGCTGGAGTGGAAAGGTGATACTTAATCTTGTGTCAGAATTGAAGCTTGAGGTCAGTGAAAATCTGGAACAGCTGATTCAGGGCACAGGGTTCCAATAAAAGGATTACTTGATGGCTAACTTTCATATATCTTCTTGTTTCTACCAGGTCTGAGCTCTTCAGCCGAGCACTTAGTATTTGTACAAGATGAGGCAGAGGATTCAGGGAATGATTTCCTCTCCAGTGAGAGCACGGACAGCAGCATTCCATGGTTCCTCCGGGTTCAGGAGTTGGCCCATGACAGTCTGATCGCTGCTACTCGTGCACAGCTGGCAAAGAATGCGAAAACCAGCAGCAATGGTGAGACCCCTGTGGTGTTTTCCAGTATTCTGTGCAGAAATTTTGGTAATGCAATGGTTATATTTTGACGAAATGAAATTGTTGCTCATGACAAGTTAGTAGCTAGTTATGAGGGCTGTAGTATTGTTTCATTTCTTTTTTTAATGTTAACCTTTATTTTTAATTTTTTAAGATTTATCTTTATTGTAATATAAAGTATCTTTATTGTAATTTAAAGTAATATAGATGTACATTCCCCCTCACCCTCTCCATTGAACCCTTCTAGCCTATCCCCTCCCCCTGTATCTTTTCTTTTGAGTTCAGCATGTCTATACTACTTCTTCTGCCACTTTTCTCTACCCAGTGATTTTCAGAATGTTGTCCTTAGATCATCAGTATCACTTAAGAACTTAGAAAGGCAGGTGCTTAGGCCTTATCCTACTGAAGATCAAATTCTTCCTATGATGCTTTTGCTAATCTCTGGATCCTGAAATATTCAGCATCCCGTGGGCGTGGGGTGGGTTTCCTCTTTTCCTTCCTTTCTTTCTCCCTCCCTCCTTCTCTTTCTCTTTCTGCCACTCCCTCCCTCCCTTTCATTTCTCTAAAAAAAAATCAATGGAAAAAATATCCTTTGGTGAAGATTAACAACAACAACAAAATTTAATTTTGCATTTGATGCTTATATCAGGGTAGGCAAAGGTCCATGGGCCAAATACCCACCTGTTTTTGTAAATAAAGTTTTATTGGAGCACTAGCATGCCAATTAGTTTTACAAATCGTCTATGGCGTCTATGACAAAGTTCAGTACTTATGACAGAGATCATATAGCCCTCTTAGTAAAAAATATTTACTATCTGGCCCTTTACAGAAAAAGTTGACTGATCCTTGCTATATATAACCTCACTGGAAATTGCATCCCAAGTGCAAAGACCTGCTGGTATAACTGTAGAAGATTTAAAGTGTTTACAGTTGTTATCAGCTTCTGCAATATGAGGTGTTGAATTTTTTTGTCTTTCTCTTTATTTAAATGTTTGAACCAGTGACCTCTAAATATTCAAAACTATCATTGTTAAAGTCATTTTAATCTGTCTTCAGCAAACAGTTCTCCCCCGCAAAAAAAAACAAAAACAAAAAACAATACAGTGATTGAGGGTGCACTTCTTTGAGTGATTTTGTAAGGACTCAGATACAAAGCAGCTACTCTCCTCTGAGGGATTTTTTTCTGCTTTATCATTATATCATTGTATCTACAAAATTGAATGCACAGAGCCCCATCTGTCACAGGCTTAAATCTCTGGATTAGCGAGGGGTTTCTGCAGACCTTTCCTTAGACATTAATTAGGTGGAGCTTTGGAGTTGGAAAATTTCCTTTGTGGTGTGTGCTGTTTAAATTTTACCAATGTACAGGTATTACTTTTTCAATTAAACACATTTAAAAAACTATGTTTTAAAAGAGAAAGTTAGCCGAAACCGGTTTGGCTCAGTGGTAGAGCGTTGGTCTGCGGACTGAAAGGTCCCGGGTTCGATTCCGGTCACAGGCATGTACCTTGGTTGCGGGCACATCCCCAGTAGGGGGTGTGCAAGAGGCAGCTGGTCGATGTTTCTCTCTCATCGACGTTTCTAGCTCTCTATCTCTCTCCCTTCCTCTCTGTAAAGAAATCAATAAAATATATTTTAAAAGAGAAAGTTAGTATTAACTATCAGAAGGCATCTTAGCTTTTACTTTGACCTTGGAGCAATTAGTTTTATGACTAGCATTGATGAAGTACAAGAAGGCGAATGTAGGGCAGGAAGAGAATAAGATCAATAGATGGGACAGACACTGCCTTTGGTCAACTGTCAGGTTCCAGGGAGTGTGATAGAAACAACATGTGTACCCAACCCTTGTCTTTCTAAGGTATGTATGAGTGGAAAGATAAAGTCTTTATGCCTATGGCAGAATTACATGAATGTTTTTCTCAATTGATGTCCAACTATGTCTGAAAGAAAATGAAAGGAAAGGAGCACCACCTGCTACTTTGGAATATAAATACTTTTTAATTAACTGATTTAGTTAGATTTAAGGAGGTACTGCAATGTGTGCTTCTCTCTTTTATTTTGTTGAACAAAAAACTTCAGTAGATACTATCTCTCACATTTTACAGTGTGGTTAGAAATTTTTAAATTTGTTGAGTTTTTGAATTCTTAACCCATTGTATGCCATAAGCATCTGTAGATGCAAGTGGCCGACCTTCCCCACACGCCACGTGAGTCTATAAAAAAAAAAGTTTTCCCTAAGTGGCAGCCTTGACCAACTTTAAAATCATTTTTCGTAAGAATTTTCAGCTCGCCCTAACCGGTCTGGCTCAGTGGATAAAGCGTCAGCCTGCGGACTCAAGGGTCCCAGGTTCGATGCCAATCATGTGCATGTACCTTGGTAGTGGGCACATACCCAGTAGGGAGTGTGCAGGAGGCAGCTGATCGATGTTTATCTCTCATTGATGTTTCTAATTCTCTATCTCTCTCCCTTCTTCTCTGCAAAAAAATCAATAAAATATATTTTAAAAAAGAAAAAAAAGAATGGCCATCTACAAAAGAAATTAACTACCATAAACCCAGAACTAAGCCAGAATGGCTGTTCCTCCTTAAAATACAAGTTTGTTACCTACCACTTTAAGTCATCTGCTGTAGCACTCCACTCTGGGTGTTGATATATCTGCCTTCTCATCAATCTGTGTAATACAAAGTAGGTTTAACTCTGCTTTTTGATATAAAACCATTTTTGACATTTCTTACATTTGCCAAGAGGCCTAGTCTGTGCAACAAAGCACGATGGCTTTGGTAGTTCTCTGGAGAGAGGGGATGGGCATGTGGAACACTTTCACTTCCTATGTTAAATGGATACAAAGAGTTGGGGAAGATGAAGATAGGTATTTGATAATTGATCACTAGGAATAAAATATGGGAGCCTTGTTGCTTGAACTAAAGTATCTGAGCAGGGTTTTTTCCTGGATTATAAATATGTGACTCTCTTATAGGAGAAAACGTCCACCTTGGTTCTGGTGATGGGCAACCCAAAGAGTCTGGGCCCCTTCCTCAAGTGGAAAAGAAGCTCAAGTGTACAGTTGAAGGCTGTGACCGGACGTTTGTGTGGCCAGCTCACTTTAAGTACCACCTCAAAACTCATCGGTGAGCAAAGCTGAGGCTCCATACTTGGAGCCAAAGACGATGTTTCTAGAGGAACTTGTAGCCCCAATTGATAAATTAAAGGAAAGCAAGGGCTGTCACTCATTTGTGCTTAAGATGTCTTTTGTTCTTTAGTAGAAAGATCATCATTGTCTCATTTATCTCATTCTTGGCAAATATCTAATAAGACATTTGGCATCTAAATGAATGGCAGCAAGAATTCTCAAATCTCATTATAAATATAACTTCTTGGAGAACTTAAAAAGAATAATGCATAAAGGTGGGCCCCACCCTAAGCCTATAAAATCTATATTTTGAGAAGAAGGGCCTGGGCATCAGTAGTGTTAACAAATCTCAGGTAACTTCAGTATCTCCAGTATGGTTGCTCATGCGTTTTTTTTTTTTTTTGTGTTTTTTTTTTCAGAAATGACCGCTCCTTCATCTGCCCTGCAGAAGGTTGTGGGAAAAGTTTCTATGTGCTGCAGAGGCTGAAAGTGCACATGAGGACCCACAATGGAGAGAAGCCCTTTATGTGCCCCGAGTCTAGCTGTCGTAAGCAGTTCACTACAGCTGGGAATCTGAAGAACCACCTGAGGATCCACACAGGTGTGTGCAACCCCGACCTTCCCATGGACAACATAGCCTAAGGATATGTGCTTGCTAACACATCCTTAGGAAAGGCTCCGAGGTGGAAATAGTAGCGAAGGCCTAAGGTTGTTGCTAGAACTATGAAAATGGAATTTTATTATTTTTATTTTTCAGATTCCTTGTGGCACTCTTCAATTCATTCAGTAACATTTCTTGAGCTTTCACCTGAGTGTGAGAAACAGACAATGTTAATTTCTGCCTCTAGGAGCCTAAAGTGTAGAAAGGAATATAAAACCTCTGACAGCAATGATATCAGAAATGGACAAAATAAGTCCTTCCAGATATCTTTGAACATTACACAACTGTAAATTGGGCATGAATATTGAGTCACAGAAACCTTTCAGAGCCTTTCCTAGGCAGTGAATGGGGAAGGATGGGGGAAATACAAAGGCAAAGATATAATCCCTGACTTTGAGGAACTTGCTTTTAAGGCCTTAGAGCATGAGAAACAGAATAGAGAAATCACTTGTTCTGGGTCAAACATGTTTATATCAAAGCGGAAAAATAAAGATCTCCTGGCTCTCAGTCTGAGAAGGAGACATGAGGGGATACCTGAAGGATGGGTGACTTTCCAAGCCACTTGTCCAGCATGTGCTAAGTCTCTGGCCAGATCAGAGCTTACTCACTGAACTCAGACCCCTGCCTCAGGATGTGTAACTCTTCTCTACTCTCTTGCCACTTCCTTTGTCTCTTCCTTGTTCATTCTTGCATGACTAAAATAACAGCAGGTAGCTGAAACTGGTTTGGCTCAGTGGTAGAGCATCTGTCTGCGGACTGAAAGGTCCCGGATTCGATTCCGGTCAGGGGCATGTACATTGGTTGCGGGCACATCCCCAGTAGGGGGTGTGCAAGAGGCAGCTGGTCGATGTTTCTAGTTCTCTATCTGTCTCCCTTTCTCTTTGTAAAATCAATAAAATATATTTTTTTAAAAAAGGAAAAGGAAACTATACTTGCTCCAAGAAAGCAGTTTGAATTAAAACAAATCAAAACAAAACAAAACAAAAAAACTGCCCTAACTGGTTTGACTCAGTGGACTAAAGAGTCCCAGGTTCCATTTTGGTCAAGGGCATATCCCCATTAGGGGATGTGCAGGAGGCAGCCAATTGATGTTTTGTTCTCGTATTGATGTTTCTTTCTCTTCCTTCCTCTCTAAAAATCAATAAAAAAATATTTTAAAAATTAATATAATAAAAGTTAGTGTTTATTGAGGTAATTTAATATGTGCCATGCATATATTTAATTTTAAGGTAACTTTGTTCATTACATACTGTATTTATTGATGAAGAAACAGAAGATTAGAAAATTACATAATTTGCCTAACATGCAGAAATGGCAGAGCTGCCAATTTTATTTATTTTTTTATTTATTTATTTTTTATGTTTAAAATATATTTTATTGATTTTTTACAGAGAGGGATAGATATTTAGAAACATCGATGAGAGAGAATCATCGATCAGCTGCCTCTTGCACACCCCCTACTGGGGATGTACCCGCAACCAAGGTACACGCCTTTGACCGGAATTGAACCTGGTACCTTTCAGTCCTCAGACCAACGCTCTATCCACCAAGCCAAACCAGTTTCGGCAGAGCTGCCAATTTTAGTGGCTTACCAGGAGAGCTTACTATGCCAGGCACTGTCCTGAATACTTGAGTTACCTCATTTAATCCTCAAAATAATCTTCTGAGATTGTAATATGTTCATTTTATGGATAAAAAACTGATTCTTGGAGCCCCAGTTGGGTTGCCCCGTTGGTTTGAGCATTGTTCCATACACCGAAAAGGTTGCTGGTTTGATTGGATTTCTGGTCAGGCATATACCCAGATTGTGGGTTTGATCTATGGTTGGGGCACTTAGGGTAGGCAGCCAATCTCTCCCTTTCTCTTTCTCTCAAATCAATAAACATATCCTCTGGTGATGATTATAAACACACAAACAAAATTAATTCTTGGAGAGGTTACATATCTTCCCCATACTAACAAGTGGTAATGTCAGGATTTGAACTCAGGGTCAAGTAAGTCATGCTTTAACCATAATGCAACATTGCCTTTTAAGCCTCCTCTTCTCCTTTGTACTTTATCTCTGCAAAATCCTCTCAGCTTGTAGATGTGTTCACCAACCCAGAAGCTCTCTGAACCATGTGCTTTTGGCATTTTATGGAGGCTCCATCTCATAGACTGAAAATTCCAACTTGCTAATCATAGGATGGTCCATCCAGGAGCCCACAAAGAGTCATTTCATTTGAACAACAGACATTATTACCCAGGAAATTCCAAGGGATTTGAGACTCTGTGTCAGAAACCAAGATCAAACCCAAATATTAGAACAAAAGATGCTCCTAGTGCTCTGTCACTTAAGAAATTTACAAGGGTGTTAGGAAACCTGCATCAGCAACTGGGATTAAAGGCTAAATGATAGAACAAAAGAGTCTCCTAGTACCCTTATTTATAAGAATTTTAGGAGCTCTGTATTAAGAACCAGGGGTAGAGGCCAATGTATATATTTCTTATTATTTCACACTTGCTGTTTTCTGAACTTGCCCTGGGTGCTCTCAGTTTCAAGGCTCTGCTTATGCTATTCCGTGTGCCTAGAATTTCCTTCCATCCTTGTCATCTTTTATGACCAGCTTAAATTCAGCTTTAAAAAAATATTACAATCAGAGTCTCTTCCCTCTCCAAATGCTTATAGCCCTTTTTGTAGAAGAATTTATATTGGTGTTATTTATAAATACATTTCTCTCTCTCACATTAGTCTGTGACCCTTAGAGGACAAGAGACTTCATCTGATTTTTTTCACTTTCTATTTTGAAAAAATTATAGACTTACAGGAAATTGCAAAAATAGTACAAGAAGTTCTGTGTGTTCTTCCTCCACTTCCCCAGAAAGTGATACCTTATACAGTCACAGTGTGATATCAAAACCAGTATGTTAACAGTACTGCCACTTAGTCCATAGGCTTTATTCAGTTTTTACCATGCATGTTTGATTTTTAAATAAGTAATATTGTAGAAAAAATTGACAGGAAAGTGGAAAGAAAATAAGTAATTTATAATACTACTACTTTTAACATGTTTTATAGATTTTTGGTGTACCTTTACATGTTTTTCTTTTCTTTTTTTATAAAATGAAAATATATAATATCTACTTTATAACTTTAAAAATCTGTTTTTTTAATGGATCTAGAAACTGATTCTTTTTAAAAATATATATATTTTATTGATTTTTTTTTTTTTACAGAGAGGAAGGGAGAGGGATAGTGAGTTAGAAACATTGATGAGGAAGGAACATTAATCATCTGCCTCCTGCACACTCCCTATTGGGGATGTGCCCGCAACCAAGGTGCATGCCCTTGACCAGAATTGAACCTGGGACCCTTGAGTCTACAGGCCGACACTCTATCCACTGAGCCAAACTGGTTAGGGCTAGAAACTGATTCTTAAAGAGAATTGTTTAAAGTTTATAAGTTTAAAATTCTAGCAGCATATATTACGTACTGTTAATCTTGATGTCCTCAGAGGGGTGTGGTCACTAAAGAGGCAGGTCAGTGCAGGTGAGGGTCAGCTCCTGAGCCAGGAGGGAGGAAAGGGCAGAGAAGTCTGGTGGGCTGTATACTAGCAGAACAGTGAGAGGTGACATTTGCTAGATAGCCAATTGAAACTATATGCCTGAATTAAAGAAATCAGATTAAGTCATTGGAAACAGAAAACTGTTGGTGGGAAAAGAGAGTGAGAGAGAGTTCACCAGAAGACTGAGTCTTTATCTCATTTTCTGTTTCTAGGAGAGAAGCCTTTCCTTTGTGAAGCCCAAGGATGTGGCCGTTCCTTTGCTGAGTATTCCAGCCTCCGAAAACATTTGGTGGTTCACTCAGGTACCGCATCATTGTTCAGAACCACCAGGGTGAATGCTGAAGATGAGGAGAGTGGTGCGGGGAAGCGAAGAAGGGGGTATGGTGAACCCAGGGTTGGAATCCTTGAGGATGGTACAGATCCTAGAGCTCTGTGGAAGCCTGTATCTGAAAAGGGAAGTGAATATTCTGTGTGGCTGCCATGACCTTATAGCAAAGATGTTTTATGAGGCAACAGAACAATGGGGCTGGAAAGGACTGACTGGGGCTTGGGAACTGTATGCTAAGTCTTCCTCGGGTACTTTTCCTGCCTTCTTACTGAAGGTTGAGAGGCTGGGGAAGGAGAGAAGTGGGAGAAGGAGCAGCCTCTTATGTAATTTAACATTCTCTGGGCTTCTCCATGTAGGCCTTGAGTCCATTTTCTTGTCAGGAATGTACCTTGTCATTTTGGCTCCCCTGTTTTAACCTGGTCCCTGTTTCAGGAGAGAAGCCTCATCAGTGTCAAGTCTGTGGGAAGACCTTCTCTCAAAGCGGGAGCAGGAACGTGCACATGAGAAAGCATCACTTGCAGATGGGAACAGCTGGGAGTCAAGAGCAGGAGCAAACTGGTGAGGAGACAGGCTTCGGTGGAGCGCTGTTTCTGGCCAAATAACTGGCATGCCTGGTCATCTGGGAATTTTCTCGTTCTGTTTTGGGTAGAGACTTGGTATCATTTGATGGGCTAGTGCTTTCCAAAAATAGCTAGCTATACAGTAAAACCCTTTGCAAGCTTTTTTTTTTTTAATTAATTTATTTTAATATATTTTATTGATTTTTTTACAGAGAGGAAGGAAGAGGGATAGAGAGTTAGAAACATTGATGAGAGAGAATAGCTGCCTCCTGCACACCCCCCACTGGAGATGTGCCCACAACCAAGGAACATACCCTTGACCGGAATTGAACCTGGGACCCTCGACGCCGCTCTATCCACTGAGCCAAACCAGTCAGGGCCCTTTGCAAGCTTTTTAAAAAATACATATATTTTTATTGATTTCAGAGAGGAAGGGAGAGGGGGGGAAAGAGAAACATCGATGATGAGAAAGAATTAATTGATGAGTTGCCTCCTGCAGGCCTCCTACTGGGAATCAAGCCTGCATCCTAGGTATGTGCCCTGACTGGGAATTGAATTGGCAACCTTTTGGTTCAAAGGTTGACACTCAACCACTGGGCCACAAGCTTTTAAAATATAAACAGTATATTCATATTGTCTACTCCTCCTCCTAAATAAAACAAAACAACCTGATAAGTGAGATTATTTGGAAGTAAAATACCAGAATCTGTAGTTTTAAAAGTTCCCTGAGTGAGTTGGATGGTAACTAGTGCTGATCCATGAACCAGCATTTGAGTATCACTGTGATAAAGATTTCTGTATGACAAGAGTTTAAGCATATTTTACTTATCAGCCATGACCACCTTTTTACCATAAATTTGATACTTTTTGTTGTTATTCCTTTTCTATGTCTTCCCTTAACCAGTTCTTTCACTCAAAACGCTCCTTTAAGGGCATTCATCCTATTTTATAAGCTAATTATCCAGCTCACAAGCAAGGATGTTTATTCATAAGGCTGAACCCTTTCCTTATAGGCTTATTCTTGCTTTCAAAAGTAGATGAAACAGAAGGTGGTGTCCAAAATGCAGGTTAATTTTTAGAAAGAAAAGGCAGGCTTCCTGTGAAAGAATGGGGACCAGGTGCAGCCTGAGTGCTGTATCTCTCTCACATCCTGTTCTCTGTGCAGCTGAGCCACTAATGGGCAGTAGTTTGCTTGAAGAGACTTCAGTACCCAGTAAAAACCTGGTGTCTGTGAATCCCCAGCCCAGCCTTGGTGGAGAGTCCTTGAACCTACCAAATACCAATTCCATCCTAGGAGTTGATGATGGTAAGAATTTCGGCTCTCCTTTATTTGGGGGAAGTGGGCTGCCACTAGAGACTAAGGAATGGGGTTGTCTCCAAAATGGAGGTTTTCATTTCATTTCTTGTGAGTAGCTGTGTTATGATTGAGTAGCATTTGTATTCTTTGTGTCTGGGGTGGATAAGTGAACTTTAAAAAAAAAAATATTTCATTAAAAAGATGATATAACAAAAAAGAGAAAATTTTTTAAGAAGATTATCCATAATCCTAGCATCCTAGCCCAACTATTTCTATTTTTCCTATTGCAGTTATGGAAGAACTTAACTTTTAAAACATTTAAACAGAACATAACCAGGTTTTACAGAGGAGAGATAAAGCAATTTCTCCATACCACCAAAGCCATATCTTCGGGAGAAGAGAAAGGGCTCTCTAGGAAACAGTTGCTTCTCTCTGGTGTAGAAATTTCACCCAGTTACACAGGCCAGGCCCTCTTCTCTGAAAAACGTACCAGGTGAGGTCAGCATGCATTTATTCAGTGCCTACTCTATGCCTGGCACCATGGGAAAGATTAAAAAGTAGAAGACAGGGACCTTAAATCTAGTTGAGAAGTCAAAACTTACACATGGGAAACAAGACAGTAATAAGCAAGTGTTAATTATATGGTCTAGTAAGGAAGAGCAGTTATAAGTTTAAAAAAGTCACTAAAACTGAAATTTGAGGGCTAAGTGGTTTATACATAAACTATTCCCAAAAGATCTTCATAGTGTTATCAGTAATGGACACTGAATAAGTCTGAGGTCTGTGTTTTAGTTATTCATATTGTTCTCAGTCTATTTGGGGCATCCATGACCATTTCTGTGTAACTTCTCCATGGCGCCGACAAGGCCTTAGAATGTGCTCTACACTTACCTCTCCGCTGTTTGATGAATGATACTCGTGGCTAACTGAAGCATGAGGCACAGGAATTGCATGGAGGTACTTTGCTGCCTGAAGGAAGAAAGTCGTGAGGAGGAAGGGACACAGAGTAGGAGCTTTGAAGTGAAGCTAGGTTTAAGTTCTTGACCTGCACACATTGTACTCTTTGTGTTATTGGTGGCTGCTTTAAGGGTGGCCTCTGGTTTCCTGATTTGCCTGCCTAAGCAGCTTTTGTCCTGTTTCCTACACAGTGTTAATCCAGTTAACAGTGTTAATCCAGTTAACAATGATAAAGCCATATTACTCTGGCATATTTAAAACTGGTCAGCAACAATATCAAGATTTTTTGCCTTTTCTTCCCATTTCTCTTTTGTAATATAGTACTTTTCAAATTCACTGATAATAATTTTCAGATAAGAATTAATTTGTAAGAAATACAGGAACATGGGGTTCAGTTTTTCAGGGAACAGTTTAAAAATTCTTAAGAGGCTTAATAGGCAGGTAGGTATCTGTGGATTCTCTTTTTGTTGAAACATTTTTTTCTGCTGTTTCACAGAGGTGCTTGCTGAAGGATCCCCACGTCCCCTGTCTTCAGTGCCTGATGTGACACATCACTTGGTGACCATGCAGTCAGGGAGGCAGTCATATGAGGTTTCTGTGTTAACTGCCGTAAATCCACAAGAGGTAAATGGTCTCTCGCCCTTGTTTTGTTGCTGTGGAAACTGATGCAGAGAGTGATTGGGAATCTAGTTCAAAGGATTTGAAAAATTCTCCAATTTCAGCTTCTCAGAAGCTTTGACTAGAACATCTCCCTTTAAGCTCAGAAAGGAGCCTGAGTTGTAGGGTTTCCCGAATTGAGAACTTGTTAATTACAGGTGAGATTCTCAGTTTTAATTTTCTATATTCACATGCCTTAATGAATATCTGCTCCTTCAGTTTTCTGCTTCACTATGAGATGAGTTTGCTTTTATTTTTATAAAGAAAATAACATCCTTGGATAAAGTGGAAATTCAGCAAAAAAAAAAAAAAGTATTGACAAATAATTTTACAAATTTATTTATTTTAAAATATATATATATATATTTTTATTATTATTATTATTATTTTTTTACAAAGAGGAAGGGAGAGGAATAGAGAGTTAGAAACATTGATGAGAGAGAAACCTATCAGCTGCCTCCTGCACATCTACTGGGATTGTGCCCACAACTAACGTACATGCCCTTGACCAGAATCGAACCTGAGACCCTTGAGTCTGCAGGCCAGTGCTCTATCCACTGAGCCAAACCGGTTAAGGCAAATTATTGTTCATTTTGAAAGGGTCATATGTCTAGAAGATACCAAGCTGAAATCGTCTTATAGAAATGTGTTCACTGGCTTATTGAATTGAGAATCATCATCTAAATTAAAGAGGGATTTTAAGATGATTAAGAGCAAAGATGTGTCATTAGAGACTAAGGCTAAGATCACTCATATGCTCATATTCCCAATTACTATATACAGAGGCAAAACTTTGACAGTGAAGAAGGCTGAGAGGGGAAAAAAAAATTGATTCATTTGAAATGTGGTGGAGGAAAGCTCTTATGAACTTCCTGGACCACTAGAAAGATGAACAAGATGAAACATTGCTGGAGACAAAATGACAAAACTGAAGTTGTCGTATTTCGGGCACACCTGAGCAGGCAGGGCTCTGTGGGAAGGACAGTGATGCTGGGAAATGGACGGCAGCAGGAGAAGAGGAAGACCAAACGAGCTGGACAGGCTCCATAAAAGAAGCCATGGCCGAGTCTACAGGACTGAGCGGGGCTCTTGAACATCACTGTGTCAACTAGGAGTTGGAGCTAATTCAGTGGCATGTAACACACATGTCCATTGGTTCTTTCCTAAGTTACTTTCTCCTGGTTATTGCTTTGGAACATGTCTCACCTATATAGCCTTTCTTTATCTATTTTATCCTAATTTATTTTAAAATCTTTATTATGGAAGTGTTCAAAGGATATAGAGAAAATAGTATGTCTTTTAGTTGGTTTGAATTAGGATTCAACAAGACCCATACATTGCATTGTTTAATAATTCTTAATTCTCTTTAAAATAGTTACCTACACCCAACCACACTTTTTTTCCCCCCAGTATGGTTATCTATTTAAGGAATTGGGTTACTCTGCCTATAGAATTTCCGACATTCTGATTTTGACTGATTGACTCCTGTTGTTATTTAATATATTTTTCTATTCACAGATTTTCTAAAAGACGATAATTATATTTAGAATCTTGATTAGATTCATGTTTTCCCTTAACCCCCAAGAGAATATTTCATATGTGGCATTCTTGCTTCCTATGACATCTCATCAGGAGACACATGATAATCAGTTGTTCTCCTTTAACTGATCTGAAGATTGATCAGTGAGCCCTAGCCGGTTTGGCTCAGTGGATAGAGCGTCAGCCAGTGGACTTAAAGGTCCTGGGTTTGATTCCAGTCAAGGACACATGTCTGGATTTTGGGCTCAATCCCCACAGCCAGTCAATGTTCTCTCTCATCATTGATGCTTCTATCTCTCTCTCTCCATCCCTCTCCCTTTCTCTCTGAAATCAACAAAAATATATTAAAAAAAAAAAAAGATTGATTGGTGTTAAGTAAAAACTTTGGCAAACATTATTGATCATGGCCTAAATCTGTTTTTACATTAGAGCTTGCAAAATGGTGATGTCCTAATTCTCTTTTTTCCCTTGCTTTTCTTTTATAAAAAAAAGTACTTTTCCTCACCAACTATTGGATTGCTCTGAAAGTCTTCCCTCTTACAAATTATTACCTGGCAAAACTAATCTGAAACACTCAACGTTTTTTTATATCTGAAACTTTGGAGTTTTACTCTCCTATACTGCTAAATACTTTTAAGTTTTATTTTACTTTTCATATATTTTATTCATTTTTTTTACAGAGAGGGAGGGAGAGAGATAGAGAGCTAGAATCGTCGATGAGAGAGAAACATCAACCAGCTGCCTCTTGCACTCCCCCTACCGGGGATGTGCCCGCAACCAAGGTACATGCCCTTGACCGGAATCGAACCCGGGACCTTTCAGTCCGCAGACCGATGCTCTACCACTGAGCCAAACCGGTTTCGGCTTATTTTACTTTTTAAATGTCACTGATTTCAGAGAGAGGGAGAGATAGAAACATCAATGACAAGAGAATCATCCATCTATGCCTCCTACTGGGGATGGAGCCCGAAATCCGGGCATGTGCTCTGACCAGGATTCCGATTGTGACCTCCTGATTCATGGGTCAGGCACACTGGCTGGGCAAAACCCTTTTTTTTTTTTTTTTTTTTTTAATTGAAATACTCCAAGCAACTCCAAACTAATGCCGGATGTATAAAATCATAATTCATTCGTCATACATTTTGTACCTAACATGTATGAGGCCCTCTACTGAGTACTAGTTGTACAATGTAAATAAAATACAATGTCTGCCTCAAAGAACTTAGAGTCAGAATTGGGACCTCTACCTTTTATAACTCCATAACTATGTAAATGGTGTCCCTGGAGTGGTGCTGTGCAGAGAGCTTAGAATGGGAAGGGTGCTGGATCAATAACTGGCAATTTTTACATGCTGTAGTAAGTGCTAGTCTTGGGGGAAATCAGGAAATAAGTTTTAGTGTCAAACCTGCTGGTTGTACCTGGATGATGCTCTAACCAACTGAGCTACCTGGCCAGGGCGAGTCCACATTCTTGAACTCAAGAAGCAGAATAAGTGATTGCCAGCTAGTTTGACTGTATCTTAGCATGTTTTCCAGATAAAACAAATTACAAATTCTATACCATGTCTCATAAAATGCCATTGCTAAGTTTTTGAGTTCAAACATCTAGATCTTGGCCTAGGTTAGAAGCATACCATTCTTACATCCCTACTACATAGCATCAAATGAAATTTGTGCTTTGTTTAAATGTCTTTCAATTCTGTACTGTTACATTCTCTGTAAACTACCTTCATCCAAATTGAGGCCAACAAGTAAGTACATTTCCAGGTCAATATTTATCTGATTAGATTTTAATAAGCCAAATTTGTATGCTGAATTTCACTGTATTCCTATCTCATTTTCTTTTCATAATGAAATGGAACGCAGTCTCATCAATTATTGTACAAACCGCCTTTCAACAAAGTGTAGAGCAGAATGTCCATGTTAGCTGCCACCCTGCTGGAGTCTCAGGCTTGTCTCACTTCATCACAGGAAAGGTGTTCCTTAAGCCCAGGGAATCCCTGGAATTCTTCGAGTCTGGTCTTGCTCTCATGAAGAACTCTTTGGGAATAGCTTTCCATTCCTTTTATTTCTACTTGAACTTGCAGCCTGTACTTGAGCTAACACTGACATAAGATTTTTGGTCTCACCATTTCTAATTTCCTTGTAAGTCATACATTCCTCCTTCACTGACTGGTAAGTACACGAATATTCGAACAATAGTTTGACTTATAGATTCAGGACATTTTATTGCTGTAGTGAAAATGACAGCATATGGGTGCTGCAGAATAAATAAAAATATGGGGGGGAAATGTTTAATTAAAGCATGTAAAGCTTAAGGATGGTCTCAAGGCCAGTATCTGCATGGCTCTTGCTTTGGAATTAGATATCCTTGACTTGGCCCCTGCAGTGCATTCCACACTCCCACTCATAAACCTTTTACTTAGTATGAATTACTTTTCTTTTATTCATCAGTACCCTATTCCAGATTTTGTTGCACTCTTTTACAGTTACTAAACCAAGGAGATTTAACTGAAAGGCGGACATGAGCATGGGTACTGAATCCTGAAGAGCAGCTCTATCTGATCCCAGTGAGCATATAGTGGGAACAACTTGCTTATGGCTCACAATCTGCCAGAATCCAAATGGATCTGTGAATGACAAGACCCCGCTTTTTCCTTTGTGCTTCTTCCCTGGCAAAGAAGATGAATGCAAGAGAGCTTCTCTTCAGACTCTCATCTGACCCAGAAAAGGAGAAGCAGGGAATGTGGGCTAGGTAACTACCTACTTCTCTTCCCACTGGAAAATTTGGGGATGGACTTCTCCCAAAAAATGAATTTGATTATGTTTGGCTGACGTATCTCAGTATAAGTATTGAGAGGAGATTTTCCTATGAAGAGCTACCATCCCAGCCTCTGCTGTCTTATCACGTGGATGAACTAAGTCCTGCCACCAACCATAAAACTACACCAGGAAGTTGAGCTTTCAAGATGCCTTGTTGCTTTGGAGAAGGGAGTGATGTCAGTTCTGTTGTGATATTCTCCCTTTAGCAACCTGAGTAAGACACTCTCTGCCAGTGGGCTGCAAACAAATAAATTACTTGAATCCTTACTTGGCCCAGGCTGAGGTACTATCTTGTCCCATACACCTCTACTTTGTCACTTTGCTTCTTTGTTCATGGAACATACAGTAGCATGTTTAAAGGGCTTTTTTTTTTTTTTTAAGTTAAATCACATGATTCAGAACTTCAGTTGTTTTCCCTTTAAATAAACAAAATAGCCCAGTCAGTTCTTTGGATTGTTTTAGGTAGTTCAGTCTTCACCTTTCAGATAAGGTATTGATTTACCCTTAGGATTCCATGCAGGTAAGACTGAGCTCAGGAGTCTTAGGGAACATGACATGAACATCTTCATCTCTAACTACCAAACCCAAATAGCTAGATGATAGCTATTGCCCGAGTGTCACTCTGTCCTCACCAGAAAGAACCATGACTGAGACTGGAAAATTAGCAATGAATTTTCCCAGAAAGTTAAAAAAACACATGAGAAAGGTGCTGTTAGAGTAGGCACTCTTGCTATTATCCTGTCTCTACAGCTACTGAGAAAACATCTAATTATAATTAGTGAGAAGTATTCCAAAGATCACTTACTAGTAGAAAATCATGGCTGTCAGGTTTATTTAAAGTGAACCTCATGCTGACACACACATGCTCACAGATAACATCCTAAATATATAACAGGAAAGAACTGCTTTTTAAAATTATAGTTCTCAATTTGTTAAGGACATGTATAATCGTGCTATGTAGACTGAGTTCATGTCAATTACTTGTATTCTTAAAATGCCAGTTTTTACTTCCGTGGTTTCACTCTTATACTAGAGCAGTGGTTTTCAACTGGGAATATTTTGCTCCCAACTTTCTGAGGGACATGTGGCAATATCTAGAGACATATTTGGTTGTCACAACTGGAGGACATTACTGCCAGCTAGTGAATAGAGGCCAGCAAACATCCCATATTGCACAGGACCCCCTGTCCTTGCACCCAACCAAGATTCATCTGGCCCAGAATGTCCACCGTGCTGAGGCTGAGAAACCCTGTGCTAGAGGCTGCAAACTTGTCATCCCCCAAGTGTTTTATTTTGCCTGTGTAGTATTTTCAAGTGATTTTAAGTTAGTTGCCAACATGCAGATTTCTGGTTTCTGTTGAAAATGCAGTTGATCTGGCAATTCAGGGCCTGTATTCCAGCAGAGACTCCAGCTCTACTGTCCCCTACTCCCTTACAGCCAGCCCATTCAACCCATTTATTTTCTGACTAGCCTCTGTAGGCATTGGAGCTTGTGCCCTTTTCCTGTCCCTAATATTTAAGTGTGAGGCACAAAGCAAGAACCTTAGCTCAGGTATGTTCCCTCCACCCTGAGCTTCACTTTGATTTACTTGAACCATTCCCTGATATCTGCTACTTTTCCCCATTCTCCAAGAATAGCCATGACTCAAGACCCAAGTTTTCCCTTGCCTTGATCTGACCCCACTTTGGTTGCTAATATTGTTGAGAAGCAGTGATTAAGTGTACTGGTTAGGCAGGTGGTTTGAGATTAGCGATTCATAAGCCAGCTCCTCCTGCTCCTTCTTGGGGCCTGCAGGCTGCTCTAGATTCTTCTAAATCCTGCTGTGGGTTTCTGATGCCGAGCTTTGTAGTTTCATGGGTGCTGCAGAATAAATAAAAATATGAAAAAATGTTTAATTAAAGCATGTAAAGCTTAAGGATGGTCTCAACATTTTTATTGTATGGGATGCAAAAGTTTCTAGGTGGGAAATGGGGAGAGGAATTAGGACTTAAACAATAAAATTGAAAATATTAGAGGTGCTTTATTCCCTTTGATGTATACGATCTCAATGGAGGAGGTGATGCTGAGTTATTTTTAAAAAGGCTAGAAAAACAGTTTTATTTTATGGGAAATAAAAATATACATGGTTTTTCAAACATGGAGTGGAAATACTTTTGACTGGTGACATTGGAACTGGAATAGGAAAATTATGTTTCAAATTTTAGGAATCTAGACTTAATATACAATGGTTGTATATATTTTAATATATTTTGATTTTTTTACAGAGAGGAAGGGAGAGGGATAGAGAGTTAGAAACATCAATGAAAGAGAAACATCGATCAGCCGCCTCCTGCACACCCCCCACTGGGGATGTGCCTGCAACCAAGGTACATGCCCTTAACCGGAATCAAACTTGGGACCCTTCAGTCTGCAGGCCGACACTCTATCCACTGAGCCAAACTGGTTAGGGTTACAATGGTTATATTTTATTCACAACTGCACTTCTCTCCAAATTCAGATGTGTTTTCTGGAGCTGTCTGGATGTCTGTTTTATTTTGCCTGTACAGTATTTCCAAGTAATTTTTAAATTAGTTGCCAACATGCAGATTTCTGGCTTCTGTTGAAAATGCAATTGACCTGGCAATTCAATTTGCATGTAAGTACAAGTAATTCCATGTTAGTACAGGATAGTGATCTCAAAATATGAGTGGCTGTCCTGAAGGCTCCTCCCAGGGGCATTGCTAAGGGTGGCACCCGGAGGCCTGCAGGGAGACAGCAGCACTGGGATTACCTGGGACAGCCATGCACTTCCAACTGCGCCTTCCCCTGTGCGGTCCTGGTGCCCTGACCCTTGTTCCTCACAAAGTCTTCATCCAGCCCCGCCTGCTTCAGGGTGTCTTGATACCTTTGTTCTGCTGCTTTCCTGGCAAGGTCCTGTGGGACGGAAACTAATCTGTAACTGACTTGTGAATTTCTTGTTAATTCTAAATTACTAGCTTTAACACATATCCTAAAATACTGTTCACCACCATCCTCTCCCATTAGTGAGGACAAGATTTGCATAGAAATTCGAGCTTTGTTTTCAAGCCTTAAAGTGCATAGGAGCTATCTGAAGATTTTGTAAAAAGTAGGCTCTCATTTGGTAGGTCTCAGTTGGGGCCTGCAATTATGTATTTCTAACAGTCCCAGGAGATGCCAGCCATTGATTAGGGAGCCACACCTTTGAGAAGCAAGGACTTAGATTTTTGAAAGACCAAGTGAGGTCCAGATGAAAACAATGGACTAAAAACCCTTAGAGAACTAGCAATGTGTCACAGATCTAGAGGCTGGTGATGTTCACCACTATGAACAGTGGCTCTGGACAGCAGCAAAGACTGGATTTTCAGTCACATTAATAAGTTAAAATGTGCTTGCCAACAGCCAAACTCACTGTGTATATGGAACCTAACTCCCACTCTGATTCATACTGAAAACTAGACTATAGTGAAAACTCTAGGAATTGAAATTTTCCATGTTAGATGTCTTCAGAGTCCAGTCTTTGATGAATTTAGCCCAAGTAACATTTATTATTACACTACTATTACTACTTAGGCGCCCAATTTAGAATCTTCCCGAGCTTCGGGGAAATGTTTAGATATTAAACTTTCACGTCTAAGAACTCTCATCCAAGACAGAAGATGACTGGTTGTTCAGTTTTACCTTGGTAACTTGTTCAAAGAGATAAGGCCTCGTTTGTATTCTCTTTTTCATTTCCTCCAGTTCTTTCTTATACTCTCTTGCTCTTTTACGGTCATTGTTCCTGGAATTAGATTTTTTTTTTTAAAGTATATTTTAGATTTTTTATAGAGAGGAAGGGAGAGGGATAGAGCTAGAAACATCGATGAGAGTCATCGATCAGCTGCCTCTTGCACAGTCCCTACTGGGGATATGCCCGCAACCAAGGTACATGCGCTTGACCAGAATCGAACCCAGGACTCTTCAGTCCCCAAGCCGACACTCTATCCATTGAGCCAAACCAGTCCTGGCGGGAATTAGATTTTTTTTAATGCGCCTTGTTCCAATCCAGAATACCCTTCATTCCAGTTAAACAGAGTCAATCTCATGGACATTGTAAATTCCTAGCTGTGCCTGGCACAACTCATGACTGCCCTCAGAGGAGCCGACCCTAATAACGCCGTTTTTCCGTTTTTAAGGCCAATGATCTGCTGGGTCCCAAGACACTACCTTTGACACGTGGGAGACACTGACCGGTTTTCTTGCAGTTTTGCTCTGAACACCTCCTCCAGGCTTTTATGGGGATCCATGGCTTTTGCACGCAAGGCCACCGATTTGGACATTGCTTGACACTTCTTTTTATGCATCTCCAACCACTGAGTACTCTCCTGCGCTTTGTTCTTTTTTTCAAGTGAACTTCTACAGGGAGGAGGGGGGAAAAAGAGTGCAGATGACAAACTTGGATGTATTTAAAAGCAATCTTAGTAACCTCTCTGGAACGTTGGTGATGTCTATGAATGGAGGTGGGTGGATAATTTACCTCCCTGGCATTTCAGAAAGAATAAGATTCTGGCATCAAATGCAAGGGCATATGACGCCTTCCCAGCACTCCGGATACAGTGATATTCTACCCAGAATATCATTTTATTCACATGTTTTCATTGAATTGAAAACATGTGAATAAAATATCCTTATTTTAGTAGCCAAACATTCAGGCTTGTCTATCCTGAAACAGAATACTAATAGTTGATTCAGTAGCTGAGTTATGTACCCTGAACCAGTGCAAACAGTCCACATGTGCTTTATGCCCACTATCTTGTGTAATCCTCATAACTGCCCTGTGAACTAAGAACTAGGAGCATTCATTGTATAGGCAAAGAGATGTAGCCTCAGGCAGGGTAAGCCACTTGCCCAAACCTACCCAGCATATCGGTGGAAAAGCCAAAGTTAGAATTAGGATATCTGACTTTTAAGTCTGCCCTTGGTGTATACACTGTACTATAAACAGTGGGCTGGAAGGTGCCCGAGTTTATGGTCTTTTGGGAATACAGATAAATACAAATATAGAAATGGACTTCTTTTTATGCACAATTTGGGATCAACTTTTAGTACTTAGTTTATATAAATATTTTACAAGGTATGGAGAGTTCTACCAAAAGAAAAAAGCCAAGACTCTTGCATTTGGCCTACACTCAAGTGGACTGATTAGGAAGGGGGACATTAAAGTTATATCTGCTAGTATGTCAAACTCCCTATTGCCAAGAAGCAGTGGTAGGCATCCTCTGCAAGGTAGGCCAACCTCTGGTTCATAATATCTAATTGGGACCTCAGGATATTGCTACATTCAACCTTGATTTAGTAGCTCTATGACATTTGAGGAAAAGAGAAATATCCATTGGATTCTAAATACATTTCTAGAAGTGCAGTTGTGGATCTTAAAGGGCCAAGTCAGTTCAGTTACTCCTGTGTAGCTCCACAGAAAGCACCAATATGCTCACTTCATCTCAGTGGCCTGGTGGAGGAGCGCTTACTGGCTTCAGATGAGAACAATACCAAGACAGAGTAAGGTCAGTTAAAGAGGTAAAAATAGGGAGGTGCCTGATTCCCATCTGAATTCTGATAGTTCCCCCAGATGAATCTTGGAGAATGTCAGTATGTGCATGAGTGCTCATCTCTGTGGCAGGCTCAGCCACCTGTTGTCATGCTTCTCTGAGTTCCTGCTCCCAATGGGTTCCTTCCTTTTTCATCTCTAGGTGTTTACCAAAGCTGTTCTTTGTCTGGAAACTTCTTTCTTTCTAGCCTTTGGCTTATTCCTTTTCCTTCAGGTTTCACCTTAGACATCTATTACAAGAGTCCCCTCCCCAGGCTTCCCAGTGCCCCACAGTCCCCTGTATTTCCCTCCTCTTTGCACTCACTAACAACATAAGGTAGCTGCTTTGTTGCTTTTCTGTATTTCAGATTAGGTATTAAACTATAGGTATCTCCAGCCTTGACATTCTACTGGCACAGAGTAAGGCCCCGTGAATATTTGCTGAATGATAGCTAAGTGTGGAGAGCCACATGTGTTCCTGTCCTGACGGAGAATTCCCTTCCACGCCTTCAGGCTTCCCGGTCACAGGAGGGGAGGCCCAGTGGCGGGGTGGTTTCCGTCATGTGGGCCACGACCGGGCATTGTGAGTCTTTTGCAGCCTGACCACTCACCTGACTGCGGATTCCCTCTTCCTGGTGGCGTCCGTGATGTGCACAGGTAGGGTGTTGGCAGAGAGGGAAGCAAGGCCACTCGGAGATCGGCTCCTTGGCCTGGGAGCAGCCGGTGGCTGTGGAGAGCCCTAGAGGAAACACAGGCTGGCATTGGTGGGACAGCATGTGTGACTGGGTTTCATCTTAGCTGGAATCAATTTCAGTTAAGATAGAAACTAATCAGACTAAGGATCTTTTTTCCGGGGATTAAAGCCAAGGGTAATGAGATTTCAAGCTTAGTAATTGGGACAGACTTGGATGTCAATCCTGGAGGCTTTTTCATTTTTAATCCTTACCCGAGGATATTTTTCCACTGATTTTTAGAGCAAAAGGGAGATGAAAAGACAGAAACATCGATGTGAGAGAGACACATCAATTGACTGCTTCCCACATGTGCCCCAACCAGGACCCAGGGCCGGGGATCAATCATGCAACCAAGATACAAGCTCTTGAGCAGAACAGAACCTGGGACCCTTCAGTTCAGGGGCCAACACTCTATCCATTGAGCCAGCCTGGTGAGGGCAATCTTGAAGTTTTTAATCAAACGAGAAGGGTTCTTTGGAATTGGTAGAGAGACACAACAATTGATCCCAACTTCCTGCCTCCCAGACCTGCTGGAACTTATTTCTCCAATTTCTCTAGAGAGAGGGAAGGAAAAGAAGTATTCTTGTGGTCTTAAGTTGATAGGAATTGTGAATCTGTGACCTGCTTATAGCTGAACTGGTGTTTTGTTTTGTTTTAATTAAGATAGAAAAATGCCATGAGAAGTGCCTTCCATCGAGACGTGGCCCTCCACCCTCCCAAACTGCCGGGGCTCTCACCTCCCTCCCTCCAGCGGCGGCAGGGTCACAGGGCCTCTGAGTGTGATGCAGGCTGGCGGTTCTCAGCAAGAAGGGCTTGTTGCGAGTCCCCTCTCGGGTGTCCCTCCTCTTGGCAGCACTTCTCTGGAAGGCCCTGTAGAGGCCCTCATGGTCAGGGACGGCAGGATTCACCCGCGGCTGGAATGCAAAGTCAGTCTGCAGAAACCCAAGCTTTTCCTGCCAGGTTCGGGTGGCCGTGCGGAGCTGAGGGTCAGCCCTGGAACTGGAGGAGATGACGGGGGAGGCGGCCATCTTGAGCATGTCCATGGCTCTCATTTGGATGCGAATTTTCCTCAAGAGCTCAGCTTCTGTGAAGAAAAGTCAGGGTGGTGAGGGGTGGGGAGGGACCGAGACTCATACCAGAAGGTTTGGAGAACTTTCCCTCTTCTAAACACTAGCAGTAATGTGCTGGAACCAAATGTTGACTTTCCAGGAATTTTGTGATCCAGCTGACACCGTGTGGGAAAGCCTGAAATTGGCCATGATAGGCACATTTACACGACAGAAAATGGCAAACATTACAAATCGTTTGTTATTGTTTTATTTTTTTTTTTCCTGGAGAGCTCAATAAATGTTGAGAACACTGCCAGGTACCAATCAGGTTGCAGAATCAACTCCATTCACATTTACTGAGTGCTTTCTCTGGTTCCTGAAGGATGACCAGGAGGAATGGGCCAGTCACCTGCTCCTCTCCCAGCTCTCCCATCTCAGAGAAAGGCTCCTCCACCCACCCAACTGCCCAAGCCCATTGTCCAAGTCATTCTTGGCACGCCCTCCCTCATCTTATCAGTCACATGTCCCACCGTCTCCTCCGCATTAACCTGTCTCCAGTCCAGTCTCTTTTTTGTTGTCCCTGCTACTAATTTCATAATTTCTCAACTAAATTACTGAAATAGCCTCATTATATCAGCATCCCTGAGTCTAGCACCTCCCCCTTTAATTATCTCAACAGCAATCAGAGTGATCTTTCTGAACTTCATATCTGATCATGAGCCACTCTAACCCTCCAGTGGCTCCCCAGTGCCCTTGGGTGAAGTTCAAACTCCTTCCCATGGCCCACAAGGCCCCAGGTCTGACCTGTGCCTGCCTCTCTCCTCCCCTCCCTCTTCTCTCCATCCTCTACCTTTTCACCCCTGAATGTGCTCAGCTTTCTTACCTCCGTGCTATAGCTCTGCTGGTACACTCTTCCTCCCTCTTCATCAGATTAACACAGCTCACCCTGCAGGGTCAGCCTCAGCGCTCACTCTCTCTGGGGACCCTAAGTCAGGTCCTTTGAATCAAAATCCATAGGACCCTATAATCCCTCCAAATGATTCATCTCAGTTGTGATCATTTATCTGTCTCCCTCCATGTCCACAAACTCCATGTCTACTTATTCACAATGCGTGGGACATGGCACATGTTACTGAATGAGCAAAGAAAGCTGAGTCTCTTATTTGAGCTGCACTCTGAAAGGAGTTCCTCACCAGGCTGGGGGAGGTTTCCCCAGAGGCAGTGGCACGGTCTAAGCCAGTCTTTAGATGTCTCATTGGTTCTCCGTTCTCCTATCTGTGCGGCCACAGAGGCCTTCACATCCACTCACTGAGGGGCCTTTAGCAGCTCATCTCCACGCCAGGCTAACCCGAGCCTGATAAATCCTCACTGTACCCCAGGCAGCAGGCAGCAAGGTGGCAAGGTTGTCTTTACCCTGGAGTTTGTCCCCGAGAGCTGGCTCCAGAATGGACCTGGGGATCCTTCTAGAGGCAGTCTGCTTGGGGGCCTTGGCCTGAGCACTGGCGGCCGGGTCCCTCTGCTGAGCGGCTTCCTTCCGTTGCTCCTCCTTCTCCAGGAAGCTGAAGGGTTTGAAAGACGAGAGCAGCAGTTCTTTCCTCTTCTGGATCCCTGCCTGCCTTCGGGCCTCGCTGCGCGCCACGATTTCATGGTAGAGGGGCAGGTAGACGTGCGCAGGCACGGGCTGTGCTCGGAACTGCCGCTGGCACTCGGCCTCCTCCTGGCCCTGCCTCTGGGCCTGCCGCCTCTTGAGCTCGAAGGAGGCAGGCGAGGCCAGCCACTGGGCCTTTTTCTGGGCCTCGCGCACCGTCATGCGGAACGGCTGGGGGACAGTGATGGAGGATGCCCAGGAGCTGAGGCTTCTGTGCTGGGAAGGAGGCCGGGAGCCTGCAGGGGGCTGGGTCTGAGCCTTGGGAATGTCGGAGGGTAGGTTGCTCAGGGAGCTGCAGCGCCGTGGGTAGCCACACCTGGGGGAAGAAAGCAGCTGCCAGGGCCTGGAGGACAGGCCGGCCCGGAGGCCTGGCTCCTCCCAGACCCTCCTCCCCGCTGCCTCCCTACACCTCTCTGCCAGCAGGCTGCACCCAGCTTCTCAGCCTAACGTCGCAGCCCCGCAGGCCTCTAAGCCTTTGCCTTTCTCAACCAGGCCCCCCTCCTTCCCACAGGCCCCCTATCAGCCTTAGTAAGAAGTCTCTTCTCAGAACAGATCCAAAAACCGCCACTTTGCATTCTGATATTTTCACAAGGGGCAGCGCAGTGGTGCAGAGCAGGGCTTAGAGTCAGACAGAGCCAGGGGCAAATCTTGCTTCAAACAATTGCCAGCTGTGTGACCTTCAGCAAGGTTCTCTTGGAACCTCAACTCCTCATCTGTAAAACGGCAAAGTAATACCTGTTTACAGGGTGGTCAAGAGGAGGAAAAATAAATATTAAACGAGGTAAAGCATACATGCACATAACAGGGCTTGGCCAAGGCAAGTGCACCTTGCTGCCATTCTCAGGGAGGAGTGTGTGTGGGAAAGGCGTCCGTTTAACCAATCCCCGTGCTCCGGGTGGTGAGGGTTACCCGGAGTGATTTAGGACCTCTGGGTAGGAATCAGAACACATGTTTGGATCCGGAAGCTGATTCTTCCGGAGCCTGAGCAAGTGGCAACTTGGAAACGTGGTCCTTTACTGAGGAGGAAACATGGGACTTGGTCGGAATTGTGCAGGGAAGCAGCCGTTGTGCTGCAGCGCCTCACCTTGGAGATGGGGGGCGCTGGACCTGCGGCTCCCCCCTGCCTTTGTGCTGGAAGAAACTCGCCAGGTCCTCACCGTCTTCAGAGAGGCTCCCGTCACTGCCTGGGTCAGACTGATGAAGGGATTCCGACAGGCACCACCGGCCTTTCTGCTTCAGGGCTCGCAGGGCCTCATAAAAGCTCCCAGCTGAGTCAGGAGAAGCGGAATCTGTCTCCTCTGGGCTGAAGAGCTCATCGAGTCCGCCAGCCCCAGGCAAAACCAGCCCAGCCCCAGGCTGCTCCTCTTCTGCCTCCGTGTCTGAGGAGGATCTGGGGGGGAATATCTAAAATGAAATAGGATAGATCGGGGTCAAGCTATAATTTCAAATTTATTCGAAACTTAACTGTTAATTTCACTTTGAATAAGCCTCTATAAATTAAGGACTGGGGAGGAACAAAGAAATTTTTTAATTAACAGGAAAGACAATGTAGAAATAAGAGTGTCCTAAAGAAATTTCACGCCCTCACTCGGTTGGCTCAGTAGATAAGAGTGCGGGCCTGTGGACTGAAGGGTCCAGGTTCGATTCCAGTTGAGGGCACATTCCCCGGGTTGTGGGCTCCATCCCCAGTGGGGATTGTGCAGGAGGCAGCCAATTAGTGATTCTCATTCATCAGTGATGGTTGTATATATCTTTCTCCCTCTCTCTTTCCCTCTGAAATCAATAAAAATATATATTTTTAAAAAGAAATTTCACAAATTGGTATATGGGGTGTGCTTGGTCGAAGGTGTCAATCCCAAAAAAGAATATACCTGCCAAAGATCCCTAGTTGTAAACTGGGCTCAAATTCATAACCAGAGTGTAGCAGCCATTGTTTACAATGGTCCCTCACCCACGCTGCGCCTCAGGGAAAACCTCAGCTGGAGCGGCCAGCCTCAGGTACTGTGTTCCTGCCATCTGAGTTGACCCTTATATTAGAGCTCCTTCAGCTGTAATTCAACCAATGGGCTGAAGACCTACCCGATCCAACTGGAGCTGTGCAACTACACCCTCTTTGCATATTAGCTGACCAATCAGAACACAAGTTTATGGTTCATTTGCATGAAAATTGATCAGGGATTAGAAGGCACTCTTCTCTGTAGAAGAAGAGTGCCCAGATTGTGTTTCCCAGGTTTGCAAACTGAGCTGCAACCCTTGAGTTGTTTTACTGAATAAAATCTCTCCTGAACCGCACCCAAAACTGGGGACTTCTGTTGGTGTTGAATTGTGGCAGCAACCCTTGGTTGACAAAAGTCAGGAAAGAGAAGCAAAGAGCTGAAATTCATGCAGTGCAGTGAGCATTTACAGAGAAGCTACTCTGCACCAGGCATTCTGCTCCCTCCAGGAATCCTACCCATGACCTTGGCCACGCTTTGGGCCCTGCCCTATTGGGATTTTACCAACTTTTTTCAATCTTCTTTTTCTTGCTTTCTCTGTCTACACCTTTGCTTTCCTCATATTCTAGCTGATTTCCACTGTGTCACTAGGAATGGATAATTAACAGGAGAGACAATGTGGTCTAGCTGAATGAGCAATGTCCTAGAATATGGGAAACCCAACAGGGTTTAAATACTCCAGAAAATATAAATAAGGTGATTCATTTGCACTAGGAATTAAGCTGAGAACAAGATAGGGCCTTGTCTTGAAATATCAAAGCCTTTATGAAGCTAACATTCCAGTAAAGGAAGACAGAGATAGAAGATAATAATTCATCGAAGTCCATAAAACTACGGGATTATAGAGTGGCTATAGGAAGCTTTCCTTATATGATGGGCTAAAAAACATCAGATAAAGACTATATATTTATGTAAAGACAGACATATATTGTGGAAGGTATGTATATTTATACTATAATCAGAGTTAGGTTTATTAACTTGCTGCAGTAAACCATGGAAAATTATAGGGAACTTGGGAGGGAGGTTGCTTTTACCAATACTAAGAGGGTGGGAGAGGGCTTTTTCTAGGGTTAGCTTGTCCTGAATAATTCTGGTGAGAGTTAGGGGAAGCAGGGATCAACTCTGAATGGATGCTGCTGTGAAGAGGGGACAGTTTAGTAAGTGGATGATTGAGCAGTTTTTATTCAAAAGGGGACAAGAACAAGTGGGCTGGGTAGTAATTGATAGGTAAGCATACTCATTTAGAAGGGGGAGTTAGTCATTTTACAGTATGGTGTGGTCCTATGAGAAACACTGTTTTCTGCTGATCTTGCTGCTGGCCTTCTCTGTCTGTTACGGTCTGAATCGTACTTTCTCAGACCTGGGATGATTTTTACTTCTCACTGTGGAGGAGTTTGGGATTTACACATGACTGATGAGGAGCCAGCCTTGCTCAGATCTGGGGTAAGCGGTTTCTGGGAACAGCGAAGACCTTGAGGCAGGGACCTGAGGCAGGAACAAACTTGACTCATGGACAAGCAAGAGGGCCAGTGTGGCTGGTGTGGTGGTGCCAGGATGGGACCAGAGGATGACTGAGTGCAGCTGGATTGCTGATGATTTTACTGGGTTCTCTAAGGTCCAGCTCTAACACTGCAAAGAACGCAAGACGGAGTCAAAGGTCTGAATGTGCTCTAGCCTTCACTCTGCTACTGAAGAGTGTGTGATCTTAGGAAACTTTTTTTTTTTAAAGGAATTTACTGAATTATTTCACACATCGTGCAATACATACAATCCACGTATTTAAAGGGTGCAGCGGGTTTTAGTATATTCGCAGTTGTGCAACCACCACCAGCTTTACCTTTTAATCACCCCCAAAAGAAGCCCCTAAGCATTTAGCAGTCACTCCCCGTCTTCCCCAATCTTCCCCTTCCTCCCCCACCTCCCTTCCCAGCTCACCCCTCATCCTTCCCCGCCGGCCCTCTTTCTGTTTATATGGATTTTGGAGCAAATTTCTTACTCTCTCCGAGCCACAGTCTACGACAGTCCTGGGGGAGCTGAAGGGATAGAGCGATGGTTCTGCTAAGAGCCTGCCATAGGGCTCTGGTTCAGGCAGCTCTAGACCAATTTTTTTTTTTTGGGGGGGGAGAGGCAATGATAAGATATGTACACATATAATACTTTAATAAAATGAAAAGAAATAAGTAAACGCAACCAATTTCATCCCACGCCCCTCGGGAACACGTCCCTACGTCTGTCTCCAAGGCAACGTCAAACACTCCTCTCGCAGGCATTCCTTTCCGGGGCCCGGACCCGATTTCCCGCTTCCGTCTCCTCCCTCACCTGCAGGCTCCGGGCGCCGCCGGCGGCTCCCGCTCGCCTCCCCACCGTCATCTCCTCCGCGGGCACCGACCGCAGCGTCCGCGACCCCGGCGGGGACTGCGGCGGCGGCGGCTCTACCTGGGTGAGCTAAGTCCCGCCCCTTTGTATACCTGTTCTCTGATTGGCTCCCGGGAGGATGCTTGAACCAATCCCTTACCAGGGAGCCTCCAAAACATCCGCCCAACGAGGCAAGGATTGTTTTCCGATTGGCCTATTCCCTTTCTACGTTTTATTTCCGGTTCGAGGCCGCGAGGCTGAGGCGGCAAGTGATTGGCGGACTCTGGTCTGGACGTGCTCCCGGAGGCGGGCCTAGCGGGGTGCCCAGCGCGGAGCGGGCCTGCACCATGGCGGCTCTGCTGGCCGCGAGCCGGCTAGGGGCTGCGCCTGCCGCTGCCCAGAGAGGCCCGCTGGTCTCCTGTCGGAGGTGGGCCGGTGCTCCGGCCGACACCGTGTACGATGTGGTGGTGTCCGGTGGAGGCCTGGTGGGCGCCGCCATGGCCTGTGCCTTGGGTAAGCGCCTCTGCAAGGCCGGTGTGTGGGGGAGAGGGGCCGTGGAGCTGTGGGGACCCTGGGAGTTCTGGCACCGTTTCCCCAAAGTCTGAGGGTTGCAGATCTTGTGGCCCCTTCCCTTCCCTTGGCCCCAGGGCAAGCGTTTGGTTCTTGGGGGTGCCGAAGGGTCAAAAGTGGGCGGTACCTTAGGAGTCCTTCCTAAGGGAAATAGACCTGCTCAGGGTTATTTAGTTATGGGCGAAATCGCAAGCAAATTGCAAGCAGTCGCGCATGGTTGCATTCTTCTCCCCTCTTCTTCCCTCCTCTCCTTCCTGTGTTTTAACAGCTTCTTTGAAATATAATTTGCATACCATAAATTTCACCCATTCACCACTATTTTATTGATTGATTGATTAGAGAGAGAGAGAGAAACATGGATTTGTTGTCCCGCTTATTTTTGCATTCGTTGGTTGATTCTTGTTTGGATGGGTCCGCAACCTTGGTGTATGGGACACTAACACACTGAGCTATAGGCCAGAGTTAAAGTTCCCCATTAAAAGCATGCAATTTAGGGTGTGTGTGTGTGTGTGTACTCAGAATTGTGCAGCCATCACGACAAATTTTAGAACATTTTTATTACCTCCAAAAGAAATCTGAACTCATTAGCAGCCACTGCTCATTTCCTCCAAATCTTAGCTCTAGGCCAGTGATTTTCAGTGGTTTTCATCTCATGGCACACATAAACTAATTTCTGAAATTCTGTGGCACACCAAAATATATATTTTTTTTGCCGCTCTGACAAAAAAATAGGTATAATTTTGACTAATTCACACTGACGGCTATTGTGTTGGCAGTTGTCATTTTTTAATTGGACAGTCTGAAGGAAAAGAGGTCAGTGCCTCTGACAAGTCAGGGATTGCATGTTTTGAAAATTCCTGCAGCACACTGGTTGCAAATCACTGCTCTCGGCAACCACTCAGGTATTTTTCTGTCTGTAGATTTGCCTTTACTGGACATTTCCATCTAGGGGAAATCTACTTAGTGTTCTCAAGGTTCATCCAGGCTGTATCATGTGCCAATACTTCATTCCTTTTTATGGTTGAATAATATTCCATCGTGTGGATATGATATGTTTTGTCCATTCAGTAAGTGATGGGGATCTAGCCTACAGTCCAGGTACATGCCCTTGACTGGAATTGAACCCACAACCTTCAGTCCGGGCTGATGCTCTAACCACTGAGCAAAACTGGCTAGGGTCAAAAGTTTTTGATTTTGATGAAATTGAACTTACTCGTCTTTTACCACTTGTGTTTTTGGTGTTATATCTAAGAAGATTCACTCCTAAGCTTCCTTTTGAGAGTTTTATAGTTTTAGCTCTTTCATCTAAACCTATCATCTACTTGGAGTTAAACTTTGTGTATAAGGTGAGGTTAGAACTTAGCTTTCATGCTTATAGTTTAGGCTGCTTCACTACCCTGTGAGGTAGATATTACTTTCATATCTTATATGAGAAAACTTGCCTGGCAAAGGTTAAGTTAGGATCAGAGTCTCAACCAGGCACTAGCAGAATCTGGGTTCAAACCCAGGCCACCAAACTCAGAGTAGATGGCTTTTAACAACTGTACAGTGACATTCAGAAATTAGATTGATTTTCCTGGCCTCACAAAGATCATTAACAGTGTTCGTTGACTTGAGAATTAGAGTGTGGGTCCTCTCCTAGGACACTGGGGGAAACAATGCTTTGCATAAGCCGATGGGCTTGAGTCTCAAAGTAATTTTAGAAAACAGTTATCAATTATTAAGCACTTGCTATGGATGGGCATATTTTAAAGTATTCTACATACATTTTTATTTAACCTTCATAATCTCGATTGTTGATTGTGCAGGTAAGGAAGTTCAAGAAAGTGTATGTAATTTGCACAAAAAAAAAAACAAAACTGAAGTAATTTGCACTCAAAAGCCAGTAATTAGGAAAAGCAAAGATTTTTGTGTGTATACCTTTTCTCCCTGACAGCCATTTGGTTGTACCTATTGATAAATGGATTAAAATAGTGGTTCTCAGGTGCATTTAAGAATCACCTGGGGCCGAGACCGGTTTGGCTCAATGGATGGAGCGTCTGCTTGGGGACTGAAGGGTCCTGGGTTCGATTCCGGTCAAGGGCATGTACCTTGGTTGCGGGCATATCCCCAGTAGGGGGTGTGCAAGAGGCAGCTGATCGATGACTCTCTCTCATCGATGTTTCTAACTCTCTATCTCTCTCCCTTCCTCTCTGTACAAAATCAATAAAAAAATATATATATATAAAAAAAGAATCACCTGGGTTGTTTTGTTTTGCTATGGTTTTAGGTTTTGAAACACTAAGACAGGCACATATACAAAATTCAAAAGGAATTTTGAAATACAAAGGGTATTGGATATAGAGTATCTATATATGTAAAAACCTAAACGACCAACCATTCAACTGGTCATTATGACACGCACTGACCACCAGGGGGCAGACACTCAATGTAGTTTCCTGTTAGTTTCCTGGTCTCTTGTTTAACAGAAATGTCTGTGAAGACATTATCTAGTTATGGATTGAGGAGATACAGCATTTGTTGCTGGGGATATTACTATAAGTGGGAAATGTTCCTGTCCCCCAGGAATTTAGAATCTCCCAAAGGCGAAAGATTTGTAGATAACTGACCAAAGGAAGAGTGAGATGAGCTCTCCTAGAGGAGCAGGGGTAGGGGAGATGGTCGGGCAGGTCCAGCACATATTTTTCTTCTTTCTTGGCAGCAGCAACTCACCGTGTCTTTCTCTGAGACACTGGCGGGACTGGCTGTAGCGTGCTGCAGACACCCAGTGATGGCATCAAGTCCTGCCCTCCCCCCCTTTTTTAATTTTAAATAATTGTTGATTTCAGAGAGGAAGCGAGAGGGAGAAAGAGGTAGAAACATCAATGATGAGAGAGAATCATTGATTGGCTGCCTCCACCCGGTATTGGGGATGGAGCCTGCAACCTGGGCATGTGCCCTGACTGGGAATTAAACGCTAACCTCCTGGTTCATAGGTCCGCTGAGCCCCGCCAGCCTGGCCCAACTTCCCTTTTTACTTCCTCTGCAGTGTTTGAGGATCAGATTTGTAGGCACAACTGATGTATTTTTGGTCCCTTTTCTTTTACAGACTACTTCTTTATCCTTGATTTAACCTTGAGGCCACAATGAATTTCGCTTATTAACTACATTTTTCCTGTTGAACAGGCTTTGTAATTTTCAGTGATATAATACTTTGAGGATTAGAAATATCTGGTATCTAAATACTACCTCATGGTGGTTGGCAGGATGGTTTGCATTAGGACTCTGCATGGTGTTTCCTTTTTGTGTGCTGTGTAAGAAATTTGTACCCAAGGAATGAATTATTGCTTCTCTTGGCAATGAAAAAATAAAATCTGATTTTCCTAAAGTGATATAAAAGTTTGCCTTTTTTTTTTTTTTTTTTTTTTTTTTAGGATATGATATTCACTTTCATGACAAGAAAATCCTGTTGCTAGAAGCAGGTCCAAAGAAAGTTTTGGAGAAATTGCCAGAAACTTACAGCAACAGGGTCAGCTCCATTTCCCCCGGCTCTGCAACGCTTCTCAGCAGTGAGTAGAACGTCCTCTCACAGAACCAATCTCCGGCCTCTCTCGGCCTCCCGGCGTGCCCAGGGGCAGAGTCAGAGCGTCTGGGCGGAGGGCTCGCTGAGGAGGGTGGGAGAGGGGTGTGGTTGGCACGTAGTCTGGCACGTAGTTTCTGAAATCGTTAACCTGCCAATTCCCCGTCTGAGGAAGACATCCCTGGGACTTGTGCGTCCATCGCGTAGACTTCATTTGTGATGTTGGGTCATTATAAACGTGTGGGGCTAAAACTACATGAACTAATTATGAGCAGAGTCCTCTTCATTCCCAGAGTCCGCCCTGTGGGAAGCCAGGGAGCCCGAGTAATAAATGCTTTTGGGGTGAAGATGCATGTGTGCAAACTGAACCAGCTGTCAGCACACCGTCTTTAAGTCCCTCCTCAGACTATCCTGACTAGAACCACCTTATCTGAAAGACTCTCGTATCACTCTCTAGCCCCTTCTACTGCTTTATTTTCCTTCACAATACTACCAGCTGACATTGTATTATGTATTTGTTTTTTACTACAAATAGTAAGTCAGAATGTTAGCCACAGAAAGGTGGGGACTTTGCCCATTTGGTTTCCACTTTTTGCTCAGCACCTAGAAATGTACTAGTGTCTGTCACATTGTAGGTGCTCTGCAAATACTTCAATGAGTGAATCTCTTCAGTGCCATGGAGATCAACAAAAGGTATTCTTTATCCAGAGTTTGTAACTTCAATAGGATGGAAAAGAACAGTATGGCTTTGATTTCCTCATTTATTTCCCCTACTTTATAATGTGATTTGACCTGTTGGTCATGAAAGCTGGTCTTTTTTCAGACTGTAATCTGAGCTGGGTAGCCATCAAACACAGAAGGGGAGAGTATTTCTCTGTTATGGAGAACTCCGAGAACAACTCTAACTTAACAAGACGGAGGGACAAAGGGGGCCCAGGAAGGATGCTTGGGTCTCTACATAGTTGCTCTCTTTTGTAGGTTTCGGAGCCTGGGACCACATCTGCAACATGAGATACAGAGCCTTCCGGCGAATGCAGGTGCTCCCTTTGTCACTCTTGGCAGGATACCTTGGTCTGTCTTGTGCTAAGATATTGGAGTCCACATTCAAGTCCACATTCAGTCTAAGAAAGTGGGGGAAAGCATTCCCGAGAATTTTCTTCTTGCCTGATGTCCTGCCAGCGGGATTGACAGTTTGTGATTGTTCTGCTCTGTCACTGGGGAAAGCAGTGCTCGGATTCGGGTTGGAGTGATGTTTCCTTTTCCTCGGGTTGTAACACAGACGCTCCCTTTGTGCTGCCAGGTGTGGGACGCCTGCTCCGAGGCCCTGATCATGTTCGACAAGGACAACCTGGACGACATGGGCTACATAGTGGAGAACGACGTCATCATGCACGCTCTCACGAAGCAGCTGGAGGCTGTGTCAGGTGAGCTCCCGCCTCTCCCGTCGTCCTGTCATCCTCTGTAAGGTGAATCTCTTCTGGAAGGATCCCTTTTACAGGTACTGAATGTGCACCACAAACAAACATTCTGCTACTTAGCTCAGGGTTTTTCTTGTTTTTCTTTTACAGCTTTATTCAGGTATCATTTACATACCAAAAAATTTACCCATTATAAGTGTACAATCCTGTGATTTTTATTATTTAGAGAGTTATGCCACCATCATCACATAATTTTAGAATATTTCCATTACCTCAGAAAACCTGGAGCTCATTTATAATATTCCCCAATCTGACCCCCAGCCCCTGCCACCACTAGTCTACTTTCTGTCTTTTGGGATTTGCTTGTTTTGGACATTTCATAGAGTTAGACTCACAAATATGTATTCTTTGGTGTCTGACTCTCCCGTTGAATGTATTTTTGAGGTGTGTTCATGTGGTAGCTTGTATCAGTGCTTTATTCTTTTTTATTGCCAATTGCATTTCCTTGTATGTGCCCTAACCAGGGATCAAACGCATAACCTTGGCATATTAGGAGGATGCTCTAACCAACTGAGCTACTTGGCGTGGGCTCCTATCCCTTTTTTCTAAAAAAAATTATAGCCATCTTTGTGACTATGGAATAGTATTTCATTATAGTTTGGATCATATTTCCCTGATGACTAATAATGTTGAGTGTCTTTTCATGTGCTTTTTGGTCATTTGTTTGTCTTTGGAGAAGGGTGTATTCAGAATCTTTTGCCCATTTAAAAACCGGATTATTTGTCTTTTTGTGAGTTATGGGGTTCTTTTTTTTTTTTTTAATTAAAAAAATTGATTTCGGAGAGAAAGAGCTAGAAAAATCAATGATGAGAACCATTGATTGGCTGCCACCTGCACACTCCCCATTGGGGATCGAGTCTGCGACCCTGGCATGTGCCCTGATCAAGAATCCAACTGTGACCTTCTGGTTCGTAGGTTGACTGTCAACCCCTGAGCTTTATCGGCGAGGCCAAAGTCCTTTATGTATTCTGGATATAAATTCCTTGTTCAATATATGATTTGCAAATATTTCAGGGTTATTCCAGAGAGAGAAAATTGGAAGCAACCTTAAATGCTTTTGATATGGGTAAAGAGCTTCTGTGCATCTTTTAAAGATAATTTAGACCTAATATTTACTAACTTAGAACCATGTCCCACAGTCTATTGCTGAAAAATACTACATGATTCCATTTGTGTGTGTGAGGCTGTGCGCACCACATGTCCATGTATAAGAAACTGTTAGGTAAGCTCTATGGCCAAGCTTTAACTGTAGTTGTCTCTGGGTGGTATGATTGAGGGTGGGTCCCCACCCCCTTTTAAACTTTTCTTTATTCAGACTTTTACAGTGAGCACATCTTTTTTCTGGTCAGGAAGTAAAATGGTTTCCAGGGGGAAGAAAAGGTTATGAAATCTGGAAGTTTGAGCCATGGTATTTCCATGGTTTCCTCTGCAAGCACACATGGGCTCATTGAAGCGTAGAGTGAACTGGCAGAGCAGGAGGGGAAGAGTGCCTGCTGCAGGCTGATAGTTCACTGAGAGATTAATTTTTTTACACTGATTCATCCCTGTGGTTTCTGTTGTTTATCAGCTCTCAGACAATAGCACCAGTCACATGAGGTTTTTTTTTTAGATCTTATCTTGTTTAGGAGTAAAGGACAAGAGACAGCTGTCCTGGACTTGCTTTAGGTTTAGTTACGGCTTTCCCTCAGCCTGCGTGGGCTGTCTCTCTCATGTTTTTTCTCTCTTCTGACCTCCCTAGACCGAGTGACTGTTCTCTACCGGAGCAAAGCCGTCGGCTATACCTGGCCTTCTCCCGTTCCCATGGCCGACTCCAGCCCTTGGGTTCATATTACCCTAGGTGATGGCAGCACCCTCCAGACCAAATTGTTGGTAGTTGAAGATTTTTATTTTGCAGGGGTCTTGCATATTCACACGTTAGCCTCAATTCTAGGGCTTCTAGTTTTTCATCTAAACTACAGTAGATATTAATTTTAGGTTAAGCTTTTGGTTATAAGCACCAGTACTCAGTAAGCCAGCTCAAGTTAAGATGGTCTCATTGTAAATCCTGTGCTGGACCAAATCTCCTGGACCATCTTAGGTCATGAAGTAAGGACAGCTGGCCTCACAGAGACAGGAACCAGAGTATCAGAAACTGAGGCTGTTCTTTCCCTCCCAGGAGTCCTGTAAGTCCTCTCTCTGCTCATCAGCTTTCCCTTTTCCACGGCAGCCATCCCTCACCTTACATCAGGACTGTTCAGCTCTAGTGCCTGCCTACTGCTTTCTAGTCCAAACAGCAGGGGAATTTGGCTGAGTTGAACCTGTGGCTGGCACCTCGTGGGTCAGATGTCCAGCTTTGGTCCGTTAGCTGAGGCCGGCGTCACATATGTAGCCACCCCTTTATATAATAGGCTGTGAGTGAGCAGGCATGATAAAAAGTTGTCTGCCATAGATGGGCTTGCCAGCAGTTAGAACCAGAGAAATTTTTAAGCGGCAGAGACAAACTTCTGGAGCAGTTTCATTTACTAAAAGATTGTAAGACTTAGCAGGCTCTTGTCTCTGTGCAGATCGGTGCAGATGGTCACAACTCCGGAGTTCGGCAAGCCGCTGGAATCCAGAATGTCAGCTGGGACTATGACCAGTCTGCTGTTGTGGCTACTCTGCATTTATCAGAGGTAAGATCCTGCGCCCAGCCCTGGCCAGCGTGGTTCAGTTGGTTAGATCACTGTCCTGAATACAGAAAGAGGGCAGGTTCGATTCTGGTCAGGGTGCATGCCTAGGTTGTGGGTTTGATTCCCAGTTGGGGCACATATAAGAGGCAACCGATTAATGTTTCTCTCTCACATCAACGTTTTTCTGCCTCCCCTTCTCCCTCTAAAATCAATAAACATCTCAGGTGAGGATTAAAAAAAAAGAAGACCCTGAGCCCACCCCCTGGGGACCCTGCGGGTATTGAATATATGTACTTCTCATAGCTGTTCTCCTTTCTATTGCAGGTCACAGAAAACAATGTGGCTTGGCAGAGATTTCTTCCCTCTGGGCCCATCGCTCTGCTCCCGGTAAGAACTCTGTCTGGGTAGTCCAGCCTCCCTCTTTTAGGACCTCATTTTCTCTCAGCCATTTTCAGGTGAAATATCTCCAGGCTAGCTTCATTTCTCCTTCCTATCTTTATGCTCGATAGTGTCCAAGAACAGAAGTTGTAGCTCTCGGTATTGATGGTGTTCTTTTGTGACAGCTCTCAGACACCTTGAGTTCCTTGGTGTGGTCCACATCCCATGAGCATGCTGCAGAGCTGGTCAGCATGGATGAGGAGAACTTTGTGGATGCCATTAACTCCGCCTTTGTGAGTATCAGCTTGTCTGCCTGATGAGGTGTCGCAGGGGTAGATACAGAAAGGCAGTTCTGAGTAGGAAAAAGAAGTAATCACCCAGCTGCCCTTCAGTAACTGAAAGGCTTGGTCTGGATGATGTGGAGGAGGCATTCAGGGAAATCCAAACAATAGAAATCAGTAACCTGTGTGCTCAGGGGCTGCTGTTGTGCTGATTGAAACAGCTGCCTGGGTGGCAGTTAGCATTGGCCTCTTTAGAAGCTGTAATTCTTAGGTAATCTTGAGCGGAGCTGCTGGGTCCCAGGTACCTGAACCTTTGAAGCCTAATTCATCAGAATGTTTTGGAGAGGGGAGCACATTTCAGTGGGGGTCTTAAAAAGTTTAGACCAGAGGTGGGGAATGTCCGGCCCATGGGCCATGTAAGCCTTTCAAAATCATTTGGTCTGGCCCTGCCGAAGAATTAGGGATAAATTAATTAATGTTTGACCAAATATACCAGGCTAATTTCTAAGTTGATAATTTTGTATGGGCCTTGAATGATGTTATAAATATCCAAATGGCCCTTGGCAGAAAAAGGTTCCCCACCCTTGCTTTAGACAGACATGGGTTCAATACTGGTATTAACTGTAAATCTCCTTAAAAATGGAAATACCAACCTTTCAGGGATTATTAATAATAAAAGTCCAAAGACAAGATACTTTATGCAAAATACTTGCAGCATACCTCATACATTATAGGTGCTCAAATAGTAATGATTCTGGAGTAATATGGCTTTTAGATAATAGGGCACAATATTTCTGAACGTTAAATGCTACATCTATCTAAATTCACTAATATGACAATTGGTAACATTTATTGAGCACTTACTATGTACCGGCATAGGTGAAGAGTTTTACTGTATGTATGTATTTAAATCAGTGACTCTTTGAGGTAGGTACTGTTAACATGCTCATTAGGAGATAGGTAACTTTCCCAAGATCCTACCTCTTGTGCAAAGCTGGGATCTGACATGAGGCTCTCCCTCAAGCCTGTGGTTTTAACTACCAAACTCCGCTACCTCACTAACAATTCACACCAAGAACTTAAGCTTCGCTGCTCTATAGTAGCAACAGTAAAAGGAACTAAACATACTGAAGCGGCTCCCAAGATAACTGCTATCTCCCCCTCCCACTGCCCGGCCCCCTCCCAGCCTTTTAGAATATGCCGTGTTTCCCCGAAAATAAGACATCCTCCGAAAATAAGACCTAGCGCATGGAAAGATAAGACATCTCTGAAAATAAGACCTAGAGCATTTTTGGGAGAAAAAATTAATATAAGACACTGTCTTATTTTCGGGGAAACGGTATTCCTGGCACAGGCCTCTGTAGGACATTCATTTAGCAACTAGAGGCCTGGTGCACAAAATTTGGGCGCTGGTGGGGGGGGGTCCTCCCCCCTCAGCCTGGCCTGCACCCTCTTGTGGTCCGGGACCTCTGACTCCTTATCACCCACCTGCTCACTGCTTCTTACCACGTGGCTTGCTGCTCCGTAGCGCTGCCATGGAGGCAGGAGGCTCTCACCACCACTGCTGTACCCACCAGCCATGAGCCTGGCTTCTGGCCGAGCAGTGCTCCTGCTGTGGGAGAGCACTGACCACAGGAGGCAGCTCCTGAGCACATCGTAACAATTGGTCAGTCAGTTGTTCTGCTGTAACAGTTGCTTAGGCTTTTATTATATAATTACAAGCGCCTTCGTAGGGTCTGGTGATGGACAAATGAGACACAGTCCCTGCTTTTAGGCAGCTCATAGTCACGTGAGGAGAAAGGTAGATAAGTGACAATTTCAGAACAGTGGTAGAAGTATGCATAGGATGCTGTGGGAGCATAGAGGTGGGCACACACAGGCGAGTTTGGAGAAAGGTTTATAAAAAGAGCTGACAGCCTCAGGGTGCTCGGAGGTGAGGTCCTGGTGAAGTCTCATGGGGAGGGCATTCTAAGCAGAGGGGAGTCAGAAGCAAGAGGGTGCTGTAGAATGAGCTACAGTGTGGCTGGTGCAGTTATTGAAGTTAGGGACTAGTAAAAGATCAAGGTCAGAGGTAGGCAGGGGCAGCTGAGCAATTTGGCTTGATCCTACAACCTGGAATCTGTTTACCTTTATTGGAGGGACTTGTCACTTGGGGTCTAGATTGTTTTAGGCATGTTAGGTACCATTGCCCTTGGCTTTTGTTATAAAAAGTTTCCTTGTTGAATTTTTAATTCCCTGCTAGTCACTGATGAAATCCCACTTTTGTTTTGTGGCTGATGCTTCTCAGTGGAGTGATGCTAACCACACAGACTTTGTTGACTCGGCCAGCACCGTGCTGCACCAGGCTGTTGCCTTTCTGAAGCCCACTAAGGTCTCAGCTCGCCAGCTGCCGCCAAGCGTAGCCAAGGTGGATGCCAAAAGCCGAGTGCTGTTTCCTCTCGGGTTGGGACATGCTGCTGAGTACGTCCGGCCTCGGCTGGCGCTCATCGGGTAAGATAACGGCAGAGCAGAGCTCCTCCTTCTCACTCTGCTGCTGGAGGCCACACCTCAACTCTGCTTCGTCTGCAGGGATGCAGCCCACAGAGTCCATCCCCTGGCAGGACAAGGTGTCAACATGGGCTTTGGGGATATCTCCAGCTTGGTCCATCACCTCAGAACTGCAGCCTTCGATGGGAAAGACTTAGGTAAGGATTCTGGAACCTTAGGGAAAATCAGGACCCTGAAGGCCCCTCAGTAGCAAGATGTGGTGGACATAAGTGTGTGTGCTTTTCTAGGAAAGAAAACTGCACTATGGGATTAGGGCATAGCTTTCCTTTCTCCTCCAGGCTCCATGAGCCACCTCACAGGCTACGAGACAGACCGACAACGTCACAACACTGCGCTCCTGGCTGCTACTGACCTGCTGAAAAGGCTCTACTCCACCAGTGCTACCCCCCTCGTGCTGCTCAGGACGTGGGGCTTGCAGGCCACAAACGCAGTGTCTCCACTCAAAGTAAGAGGTCGCTCACGGCTCTCTTAAGAGTCTTGGTCACCGAGGAGTGACTTGCCAATGATTTAGTTCATTTGAATTAATTTTCTTGGCTGTAAAATTACCCTTTTAATCTTCCCCAGTGATAATGAGCAAAAAAGACTGTGCTGGGCTTCGGTGCTAGGGCCTATCTAGGTAGAAATTTAATACAGTATAAGGAAGGGTTAAAGTAGCAAGTAGGGGCTTTCAAAGATAAAGATGCTTCAGCTCCTTTTGCTGCTTGGTCAGCTTTTTCTACTGAGAAATGTCCATTTAAAGGCACTTTGGAGGGACTCTTGTGAAGAGTGTCTATCTGGGACTTTTGCTGAGTTTTTGCTTTAATCACTTTGGATACTTGAAAGTATTTTCTTCACCCGCCCTCACAGTTTTCAGAGTATCACTCACTCTGTTTCATTTCTCTTTAGGAACAGATTATGGCCTTTGCAAGCAAATGAATGTCCTCTTCTGCAGATTATATTGAAGAAAAACATCTTTTCCCAAGGCCATCATACAGTTTCAAGATTTAATTTAATAAATTGACTTTGTGTTAACATTCTCTACTTTATTTTTCTCCTTTATTTAAGAGGTTTGTGGAACCCAAACAATGAGTGATAACTTGCTGTGAGGAGGGGTATATAAACCAAGCCAAGAAAAACCCCAAAGGAAGACTATTATGATTTTTGTTGAAAATTTTTTTATTACTAAAACAAATCATTTAGGTGCTATCTCATTTATTTTCACTTGTTAGCGATCCTTTCTAAATATAAGATCTATAGTTGTTTTTTTTAAATACTGGTCATAAATTTATACAATTATCTTTTGATAAAGAAGAATTAGAAATATTCAATTGATGCATTTTTGTTCAAATTACTGTTTTAAAATTAAAAATAAATTGCTTTAACCTTTGTTGTAGGTGCAGTGGACTTTCTAAAAAGAAACCCAAATCTTGTTCATTATTCCTTATCACAGCACCGGATTTCCATTTTATTCATGGTTCCTCTCTGGAACACCATTTCTGTCCAGTGACAAAACAATAAATAGTTTCATTGCACAGGTTTGAAAACTTCAGGAGCCAGGTCAAAGGGATAATCTGATTATTTAGCAGCAGACTTTGTCATATTTGGTTGCAGACTGGTGGCTGATGGGTGTAGGGGTCTTTGAAGTGGGTGTTTGAAGAGCTCACTTCGCAGTACAGAGATGACTCTTGAAGAGATTTGGGAACCCATTAGATTTGTACACTGCAGAGAAAATTTTGCCCAAAAGTCTGATTTGATGATGAAATGAGAAGAAATAGTCTGCTTTTGAACCAAGCTAAACTAGCTTGTTATTGAAGGAATGAAAAATATGTTTTAATAGGGGAGCTTTTCAGACAAATGTACAAAGTTTATAAGATACTAGAGTAAAAAGTGATAGTTTCACAAATGTTCCTGGACTCTCTGGAAAGATGTGCCCAGAATGAAAGTGGCAACTAATGTGTAAGTTGTAAGACTACTAGCAGAGTCTAGAAAGATCAACACTCAATGGGAGGGGAAAAGGTCATCTTTCACAAAAACGGGAAAGGGAGCCCGGGAAAGGAGAACATGGACTCTCCAAAAGTATGCAGATAAAATCAGGCAAAATGGGAAGAATTGTAAGGCACATCTTGCAAAGTCCTCCGTAACCCACAGAGGATGTTTGGTAAACGCACAACATCCACTATGTGCCAGGTCAGGTCCTAAGTATTTGAAATATGTAAACACATTTATAGAAAATAAACTTAACCAACAATATTAGACACTATAGGATTCCTCAATAAGAAGCTCAAAAGGTACACCAAGGGGCAGAAGGTCAATTTTTTTCTAAGAAATAAAAATTCTTATTCCATATTGCTCCTAACATGGATAAACTTGTTAATTCTCTCTAGATGTTCTAATCAAGATTATCAGAATTTAGGTAGACACATCTCAAGAGTTCTGGAGGTACTTGGGATGACCGAAGGAGTCTGAACAGCTTCTGTCCATAAGAAAATCTTCAGAGACAAGCTATGACAAAGACCAGGGAATCTTGCCTCTCTCGACCGTCAAACTGGCGGAGTCTTTAGTGAACACAGCTTACCTCTTGGGAATTGTATGGAACAACATTTAGTGTATGACTGTGTGACACAATGGTAAGGGGTCTAGAAGCCAAGTGTCCTATTAAAGAAGAGACCACAAAGGACTTGCAAGGAATTTCCTTCAGGAGATGGAGAGGCTATGGAAGGAGGGACGAGAGATGGAAAGGGTATGGAAGGAGGGACGAGAGATGGAGAGGCTATGGAAGGAGGGACGAGAGATGGAGAGGCTATGGAAGGAGGGACGAGAGATGGAGAGGCTACGGAAGGAGGGACGAGAGATGGAGAGGCTATGGAAGGAGGGAGGAGAGAAGACCACTGAGAGGAGAGACTGCAGCTCCTCATAAGGGATTTTTAACATCAGTGCTGTCCCAAATGCAATGAGCTGTCTCAAAACATGCATAACCAGAAGCAAAATACAGCTATTTAGAAATGTTAAGGGGATTTTGCAAGTTAGAAGACTGGATTATATCTTTGGGCTGTTTCCAAATCTAAAGATTCTATTATGTATTAGCATTTTTGAGGAAGACAATGGGTATCAAGGCGACCTTGGTATAATAAAAGTCAGTGTGAAAAATCTGAAGAAATTCCACAATGAAATAAAAAAAACCACACACACTAAAATGTGGGGAATAAAGAAAAAAATTGGCTAGTTACTTGCACATCAGATGTTAACCACTTATTGACTCAGTGGAGTAACTTTAAAAAAGGAAGTAGTGTGAGGGCCAGGAGCTTAGCATTTTTTTTGTGAGAGAGCCGAAAGAAAGTCCACTGTGATAGCTACAAGTGTGGAAGATACAAACTGCTAGAAAGAAGCTGGAGGTAAAGAGCCAAGGTCAAAGAGCCAGTCCTTCAGCCGAAGGGCACTGAGTGGGCAGACAAGAAGCAGGTGATAGTCCTATGGGAAAGAACAAGATAATGAAGGGCTCAGAGCATTCCAACACAAAAAAAAATCCATAGTATGAGGGCCAAAATGGCCAATGAAATAAAATGTTAGCTTATCACCATCCCTTCTCCGTGATAAGTTCCAAAGCTATTCCTTTTATCAGAAACCCTGGAACTAGACAATTTAGGAGATGGTAGCTAAGATGATCAGGGGCCAAGTAGGAGGAGACATTACTATAAACAGAACAAAAGGGCAAACTGAAAGGAGCTATGGCCAAAATCTAGATCCTCCAATAGTAGGATAGGGATGTGCTTCTCAGAAATACAAAGAAGTAAGTTTAGGATGACAAACTAAACAGAGCCTAGAAGGAAGTACCGGCACTGAATAAACATATTCCTAGAAGGTGTTCAGATTCATTAATCTCACGATTGACATAAAAAGTTGATTAAAAGAAGGTGGCCTATACAAGGCAGCCACACTCTCCCAAAACTTGTCCTTGGAGACTGGAAGGCCCCTTTTCTGAAGGCTACACAGTAGGCGTTGCTCTCCCTCCTGCTAAGAGGACGGCTCTCAGCAGGCTGATTGGAGCGAGCACAAAGCAGAACCACATGACTTCAGAGATGGTACCTTTCTTTCCTCTTGAATTACAAAACCAGGTATTTTTTTCTTTCCTCTCTTTTTTAGGGAGGTGGGTGGATGGGTATGATAAGGATGGGACAAGGTAATGTGCAGGGAGGAAAAATATACCAAAGGGTTGAAGGAGATTTTTCTTTGGTTAAGTTCCAAAGCTATTCCTTTTGGCTCTCTGTGACACACAGCATGCTAAAAATTTAGACTCTAGTATCAGCTGTGCAAGCAGTATGGTTAGGTACCTATTAGATGTGTAAAATTAATTAAACCCAAATCTCTAGACATAAGGATAAGAGCTGTCTACAAAAACCTCTTCCTCCTGATGAAGCCAGCTGCTGGGTTTCAATCCAGGTGGTTTCCAGACTGCTTCATAACATGACTGATTCTTTTCTTCTTCTCCTGTTAAAAGGTTGTTGGCAAATACAGGCCTCGGAGGGAGAGTGTGGCCTCAGTGGGAGATGTCCAGAGACTGCAGCAAGTGAAAGGTGGCTCCCAAGGCCCAGCCTGTCTCTATGTTGTTCACTTTCTTTGTGAGCTGTTGGGGAGGAGAAAAAAGGCCTTCACATTTTCATTCAGTTTTTAACTTTAGCAAGCACGACCTGGGCCAAGGTCATCCACAAAGCCAAACCAAGGCAATGGGAAGTAGCCAGTCTGGAGGCCTCCCCACAACCCATTTCTGCACGTTTCCTCCCTGCCGTGGCCTATTATTATACCATCCCCTTGCCAAGCTGATCCCTGAATCTTCTGGCCCAGCAAAGTGGTCTCTCCCGGGCTTTCCAGACAGGACCTTTGGGACTCTCCCTAATCCTGAAATTAAATTCAACAGCAGTTGGGGATAGATTTAGAGGTACGAAAGCACATACTAATAAAGCTTCCCCACTCATATTTTGTAAGTAACTGCATCTTCTTAAGCACCATTAACCACCTAAAGTTTTTAAGGCGTTCTAGGCCGGGATGAGCCTCAATTCGTTCATGACTCCAAGTTAGACCCTATTTTCTCAACTACATAAAAGGGATTTAGTTAGTATTTATCAAACTGTTTTCTTCAGAATCCCGAGGGTTCCTTGAAAGCGCTTCAGAGAGAAAGGGGGCCACATGGTGAAGGAGTCCTGTACCTCTGCTTCAACCAGATGCTCTGCATACCAGTGTTACTGGCATTCTGCATAAGCTTTTGTTAAGTGAAGACCACCACACACACACACGCACACACACACACACACACACACACACACACGTTTGGAAACCAGTGGATTGGTTTTAGTCTGTCTTTCTAATACTCAGTTTTATGACACAATATTTTGTTGACCTGTAGTCACTGGGCCAAATTCTGGGAGAATGGTATGTGAATCTTGAGGTTTTGTCTGAGATAGCTGAGTCAAACAGGGAGTGTCCCCCAATCAAATGCTCTCCCCTGTTCTGAGGACTGGGCTGACAGTCTAAAGATACAGATGCTGAAGTGAAGCTAGCCCGGGCAGGACTGTGCACCCCTGATTTAAATTTTGTTGCCATTGAAATCACAAAGAGCAAAAGGATGCCAGCACTGGAAATGGCAGAAACTTGTCCTTAAATGATCTGATTATAGTTGATGCTTAAATAGAGAATGATGTTAACTCAGTACTATGTACTAAGGGCTTACGATAACTTCTCTAATCCACAAATCTCTCCCCAACTACTAGCAACATCAATACTAATTATTTATACTATGTGCCAGGTAATGTGCTTCACAGGCATTATCTCAATTTTCATAACAGTCCTATAAAATAGGAACTCGAAGGATACCTGTGCTTTGGGTGAGGAACCTAAAAGTTAGAGAGGAAGTAAATCATCTAAGGTCACAGAGCCAGAAAGCTTGCAGAATCAGAACTTGTGTGCAGATGTGAGGGACAACAAAGCCCATGCTTTAAAGACCATGGTACTAATCTACTGTCAAGTAATTCTTCTGTCCTAAGCCCCTTAAATGCTGATGTTCTTGGCAGGCAAAATACATTAAGTCCAAGTACCTTAGTACGAATGAGTTTATGACATTTGTATAAACCAACAAATTGGGTAATATAAACTCATCCGGAACTGATGAAACAGGAAGGGGAAATGGCACAAGGCGGGGGGAGGAGGCTCAAAAAAAGAGTAGCCTACTTACTTGACCCCAAAGTTCATAGCTGCCTTGTGCTATCTCCTTTAATAGACTACATATCTGAGGACAAAGATTACATCTTACTTATCCTTGTAACTGTGGATGAAAAAGGGGCACAGAGTAAACCTGATAAGCTCAAGGTGTAAAAATTCCTAACTAAAAGTGAGTTATGGCCAGGACCGGTTTGGCTCAGTGGATACAGCATCAGCCTGCGGACTGAAAGGTCCCGGGTTCGATTCCGGGCAAGGGCATGTACTTTGGTTGCGGGCACATCCCCAGTAGGGGGTGTGCAAGAGGCAACTGATTGATGATTCTCTCTCATTGATGTTTTTAACTCTCTATCGCTCTCTCTTTCGCTCTGTGAAAAATCAATAAAATATATTTAATAAATAAATAAATAAATAAATAAATAAATAAATAAATAAATAAAAGTGAGTTATGGTGGGTAGTCATGTCCTAGGCCTGTAGGTTCCTTGAGAAAGGTCAACCTTTACCTTTGAAATTGTCTATTTTCTTTGTGCATCTAAGATAACAAACCTTTGAAATGTCAGGGTAATTTTATTTCCCAGACCCCTCGAAGGTACAACCACTCAAACCAGAGGACGAGACCACACTGCTGTATTGTTGCCCACATGCCATTCGTTGTACCGATGTATAAGATGCTTCTCTGTGTTTTATTTTTTATCTAATCTCAGAGATTTTTCCACTTTGCTTTCTCCCACCTCCCTAATCTATCATCAAATAGATTTCATGTAACCCCCTTATATCTCCTCCTTTGATTCTAACCTATATATACAAAGAGCCAGGGTTGTAACATCCACAACGACTGGAGGCTCAACCAAATGTCAGGCTGCGTGAGCGGCGGGGCTGATCAGCAGTGGCAGCTTCTCTGATCACCCTGCTTCTCTCTCTGGCCTCACCAGCAGCCAAGTCTCTCTGTCTCTCTCTCCCAGAGGTCAGCAGTTCAGCCTGCTCACCAGCAGCCTGGGGTAGCTGCTGATCAGCCCCACCTCTATGATCAAGCCCAGAGATAGGCCCAGAGATGCTGACTGGCATAGAAACCGACCAATCATAACCAAATCTGGGTGAAGTGCAAGGAGCCAATGGCTGCCTAGGAGGTGGAGCTGTTGACACTAACTGGCATAGAAACCGACCTACCAATCAGAACCCTGGGTGAACTTAGAAAGCAGAACCTAAGGTGGGGGCTCAGAAGGAGTTTAAGGGCCATAGCTGTTTGGTGTAAGTTGTAAGAAAGTGATTCAATTTTTTAATGACCTATTTGGCAGTATAGTGTATATGGCTGGCTATCAGTCCAGATATAGGGATTATGTGTTTTTATCTGCAAAGAGCATCCCCTGCTGAAAAAGGCCTTTCCCCCTGCATTTAAGCAATCCAATCCTATATAATCTATCTATACTAATAAAAGTGTAATATGCTAATTAGACCAGGTAGACCAGCCATCTTCCAGACATCTGACTTCCTTCTAGACAAAGCCATAGGTATTGGAGGCCAAGGCAGAGGCAGTTAGGGGTGATCAGGCCACTAGGGAGGGCAAAGTAGGGGCAATCAGACCGGCAGGCAGAATGGTTAGGGGCAATTAGGCAGGCAGGCAGGCAAGTGGTTAGGAACCAGTCTTCCCGGATTGTGAGAGGAATGTCTGAATGACAGCAGTCAGATATCCCTCGAGGGGTCCCATATTGGAGAGGGTGCAGGCCAGGCTGCTGAGAAACCCCGCCTCCATACACAAATTTTGTACGCCAGGCCTCTAGTGTATAAAATAAACTGCAAACTGCCATTCTCTGGAGCATTTTTGCAATCTACTGAGATTTTGCTTTCTAGCAATGGTTGTCATTTTGGCTCAAATAAACTCTTTTAAGACTTTTTCTAATGTCTAATACTGGACATTCTTTCACTGACATAAACATATGTGCAATTTTTCAATTACTGTACTGAAAACAAGAAAATGGGATGGATGAAAGATATAAGATGTATTTAAAACAAATAAATTACTCCAATGTTGAGCCTGCCTGGACAGAGATAGGAAGATAAAGAAGAACCCAAGATCCAAGAGACACTAAATATACAAGGCAATATCACATATATATGACATACTACATATACACAGGCACTCAACATTCATGAGGTCTTAAGCCCCTTGTTAGTGGCACCCTTCTGGTCCAGTCCCTCATGTCCTCTGCCAAATAAGACCATCTAATGGGCTGAGTGGGCTAATATTGCCAGATAACGTACTTGCTCCTGTGCCTCTCCAAATAGTGGAAATTTGTGCAATGGCACCAGGCACCTCTGTCCTTGTGCCCCCTTGATTAAACTTCAGTTCTAGTACTTGCAACCAACCACACTGTCAGCAGCAGCAGAGGGAATTAGGATATACATACCCAAAATTCAGGAAGTGTGGCACTTCCAACCTGCTTGCACCCTACACTATGTGTTCACCTGTCCCATTTCTTTCCTGTTGCTTCTCGTCCTGAGTTTCGAAATTGATTTAATAACTACGGGGCCTGGGCATCTTCATTTGGACTGAACGCTTTCATGGTAACATACTTAGGAACTGCCTTTGCATTGAGGTAATTTCCCACACCCATAGTGCCTTGCACAGTGCTTGTCCACTGCCCGAATAAAAATCCACATAATCCCACCTATAGTGCTCTTCCCAACTCCCAGAGAAGTCTGTTATGAGACTCCTCTGCTCTTTCTCTTGCCTGTAAGACGGTGCTGTCTGCAAAGCCAAAGCCATCCTTCAACAAGGCTGTGATGTAGCTGAGATCCATGCACAGGAAAGGACTGCCTGAGGTGAAATTTTCCAAGTTGTCACACACTGAAGGGGAGAGAGAGTAAAGAGTGGAATTCAAGTTTGCAGCCAACTGACAGGTGTGTGATTTTCTCTAAATATAGACTTGGAATAAGCAAAGCAGAATTCTTTGTTTGGCTGATGCCTAGGAGTCTTAGAGGCTAGAACTGTGCACTGACAGTTCTACAAGACTGCAGCGTCTTCAGAAGTTACAGATTTCTGATGTGATATCTTATCTACTCAAATTTACATGGACCCTCATTTACTTGCTAAATTTCTATGTCTATTTTTTGGGCTTAATTCAACCACATACCTTACATATTATTAATGCTGAGGTCCTGAGCACAGGGAAATACCAGTTAGCATTACTTTGGGGACAAAGAATAAGATTATTTATTTATGTTTTCAATGGACTCTTTCCAGGAAACCGCTGTGGCTATTTCCCATGTATTTTGGTGCTTGGTGCTTCATTAGCACTGATAACACTATTTCAACTAAAAAAAACAACACTAAATGGAGAAAAGCAGGTTTTCACCATTTTCCTAAAACCTCTTCTATTCTCTTATTTTTCGATGCCACTTAATGCTTTAAGCTCCTGGCAAAGACAAGAAACCAGCCTCTGAGAGGCTTTCTGCTGGCTGTGGAACTTCGGGACACGTTAATGTCACTGGACTTTGTACAGTCTCACACACTCACTGCTAAGGGCTGCCACTGACACTTACCTTCCTTTGCTTTTCTTTCAAAGTCTTCAACTTTTAAAATACCCCCCTTTTCATAATCTGAAATGAAGCAAAAGAGTAGCTGATGCTAAAAAGTGTCGAAGAAACATAAGAAAATTCATCCTAATGAGATTTGTAATTAAAAAAAAGAAAATAAAATTCCCAAAATTAGAGAATGGAATAAATAAACATGGTATTCATATAAAATAATCTATGCATTCTGTTTTTTTATAAGCTATTTTATGTTATATGTATTTAACCACAATAAAAATTTTGATTCATTTACAAAAACATGTTAGAAAATAGAAATTCATATATCAGGCCATGACAGATTACATACATACATCATCATCATAGCTAAATAAAAACATTACTACTGTGATTAAAAAAAAAGTTATGTCAAAACCAGTTTGGCTCAGTGGATAGAGCATCAGTCAGCCTGCGGACTGAAGATCCCGGGTTTGATTCCAGTCAAGGGCATGTACCTTGGTTGCGGGCACATTCCCAGTAGGGGGTGTGCAAGAGGCAGCTGATTGATGTTTCTCTTTCATCGATGTTTCAAACTTTCTATCTCTCTCCCTTCCTCTCTGTAAAAAATCAATAAAAATATATTTTAAAAAAGTTATAAAGAGGGAGGAGGAAACTTTAGGGTAATATATATGGTTTTAAATATTGAATTTGGTAATGGTTTTATGGATATATACATATGTCAAAATTAGTAAAATACACACTTTTTTCCCCAAATCACTAGTAATGTGCTGATGTAACAAGGTTTGAGAGGCATATCTCACAAAAGAGCATGAACACCCAATCATCAGCGTGAACTACCTCTACATTTTAAAATAGGTACATTTTATGCTGAATGAAATAAGTCAGTGGACAAAAACTATATGATATCACTTATATGTGGACTCTAAAAACAAAAAACAAACAAACAAAATGAAACAGACTCACAAATATAAAGAATAAACTGATAGTTGCCAGAGGGGAAAGGGGTGGAAGGATGGGCAAAAAAGGTAAAGGGTCCAAGAGGCACCAAACCAACTTCCAGTATAAAATAAATAGACCCAGCAATGTAATGTACAACATAGGGAATATAGTCAACAATATTGTAAGAACTTTGTACAGTGACCGATGGTTACTAAACTTACAGTGGAGGTCACTTTGTAAGATAAATAAATAAATGTTGAATCACTATTTTGTACACCTGAAACTAACACTGTATGTCAACCATATTTTAATAAAAAATAAAGTATGTGCATTTTATTTTATGTCATTTATATCTCAATAAAAAAGACTTCATGTAAAAATTTAAGGCCATTTTCTAGCTCTAAAAGATTCTCAATCATATGCCCCCTTCCATTCGAGTGACTAGTGTCACTCAACAACCAGCACTGAAGAATAGGATGATCACCTCTGACCAAGCATTTCAGACAACCCCTCTCCCTTTCCCACCAGAGCCTTCCCAATGTCCTCCCTGACCTGACACCTGGAGTGAACTTACCAATCATGTGAGTGTCAACAGCTCGATCGTAATAATAAGAGAAAGCATAGAAGGAGCTCCTCTGGATCTCATGTGGTTGGTGAAGTTTTCCTTGGACCACCCTCAGCACTTCAGCATAGCAGGGCTCAAAGCCCACTTCCCCTGCCAGGGCAAAGTGCACAGGGACACGGTGAGAAAATGATAGGGGAAGGGACCACTCTCTGAGGCAAGCTGCTGGAGCCAACGAGGAGACAGGAGGAGGAAACAAGGAACGCTGAGGCTCAGGACAAAAGGCTTACAGAGATGAGCAAACTTCCACAGCCTTGCTGGTCTGGAGGAAAGGCACCTGCTTCTCTATGCAGCTCCCCTCCCCAACTTGTGCTCATCAAAAACAGCTTAATCAGCCTAGAGCCTCACATTATGTTTCATAGTGCTTGTGAGAAGTAGCTAGAAGGCTTGACTGCTTCCTTTACTAGAAAAATCAAGTTCTTTCTTGATTTCAAGATCTGTGACTTTTATAAAACTTAAAGTGAATTATTCTCCCTATCATCTCAATTTTAAGTTTCATCCTGCTGAGGGCAGAGACTCTTAATGCATTAGACCCCAGGTCTAATGGATCCACAACACCGGGCCAGGGAAAGAACAGGATACAGAGAGACGGCTATTCATTGTCACTTCCCACTATTAGAGGCACACCAAGATCTCTTTGCAACGAGTCTCTGCAATATGACAAGTTTCTCTTGGGCTCTGTAAAAAGTTTCTGGAACTTCTCCAGACTTCTACTGTAAAAATAATTTCAACCAGTGAAAAAAAAATCACTTGCCTTCTTGGATGCCGCCATACTGGTATTTCACGCCCCCAAAAATCCACTCTGCTTCTAACCATCTTGGTAGACAGGCACTTCTAAAAGTATGTCCCTCCGTCCCTGAAAGAAAAACACCAGACCACAAAGTAAGAGGCAAGGATGAGAGAGGGAGGAAAGCAAGAAGCCACTAAGGTGGAAAGTAATCACCAAGGTGGCTGGGCCTTCAAATCGTATTAAATTAGTTCCATGATTACATCCTAGGACAGGAATTTTTAACAGGGTTCATAGATGGGCTTCATGGTGTTGGTGAAGCCCCTAAAACTATGAGCACATTTCTGTCATACGTGCATTTGGTGGAAGAAACCATGGCTTTCATCACATCCGAGAGAAATCCCAAACCTACAATGGACTAAGTTTCCTCCTTTCTAAAAAGCGGGAGAAAATACTGTTCTACTTTTCTCATTGGTTGTTGTGAGGCTTAAATGAAACACATTTATAAACTTAAATGCTAAACAATCATCGTCACAGTAATAGCTTACTGGCTATTATTGCAAATACAAAGTGTTTTAAATGCAAAATCTTACTTAAGGTGAGGGAAGGGGCACAGAAAGGTAGCTAACTTGCCCCAAATCACAAAACTGAACCCAATACTATCTGACCACAAAAGCTGAGCTCTTGTCTAGCCTGTGTGGCTCAGTGGTTGAGCATCAACTCGTGCACCAAGAGGTCGCTTGTTTGAAGAGGCACATGTCCAGGTTGTGGGCTTGATCCCCAACAGGGGGCATGCAGGAGGTAGCCAATCAATGTTGGCTGTTTGATGTTTCTCATCGATGTTTCTCTCTCTCTCCCTCTCCTTTCCTCTAAAAAAATCAATAAAAACATGCAAAGAAAAAGAATCAGTAAAAGGGAGAAAAAAAAAAAAAAAAAAAAGCTGAGCTTTTAACCCTCTACCACCTGTGAAGAGGTGAATGGAGTTGCTCAGCTACTCCACCCTGCAAGTGGATTTTTTTTTTTTTTCATCTGCATCTCCCATGTAAAGCCAAGGGCTTGAGCAAGCTCCTACCAAATTCATTCTGTGAGCCTTGAATTTCTGCAGATACTTCAGCCTCCTGGCCACAGGCTATTGCCCCATACAAACAGACCTTATTCTAGAAATGACTAATAATGCATACCAAAACTTATTTGAACTCAAAGGAAAAAAAGAATTTGCCATTATGTCCATTGTATAACATTCTAGAGGTCTGGCATACGAATTTGTGCACTAGTGGGGTCCCTCGGCCTGGCCTGCGCCCTCTTGCAATCCAGGACCCCGCTGGGGATATTGGACTGCCAGTTTCGACCTGATCCCTGCAGGCCAGGCCGAAGGGCCCCATTTGTGCAAGATACCGTGCACCGGGCTGGTTTCAGCCTGATCCCCACAGGCCAGGCCAAGTGACCCCACCAGTGCAAGAATCTGTACACCAAATCTATGCACCAGGCCTCTAGTATGCATATAAGATCTTTGGTTAATCTCTTCCTGCCCTTCCCCTCATCCCTTTCCTTTGAGATTCATCATTCTGTTCCATGTTTTCATACCTGTGTGTTGAGCATCTGTCTCCTGGTGGTCAGTGCACATCATAGCTACTGGTTGAATAATCAACCGGTCACTTAGGCTTTTATATATGTAGGTGCTTCCTAAGTCAGCATAACTCTTTCCTCCAGACTCATTCCCAAGGAATTCCCAAGGTTCACTCTCACCATACCCCACACAGCACAGGTACCCAGACGAACCTTCTGTTTCCAGGGCTCCCAGAGTTGCTAGTCTTGCAGCTTTCAATCCAAATCCCAAGTAACTGTAAAATACAGGATTGACTGGTCCTGAAGTCCTCCAGCCTACAACTATCTCTTTTAAAAGTAACATGGTTCCTCCGTGACCTATTCATCCCAGTGTGGCTAAGTGGTAATTGCCCTGCAGTAACTACTTTCCACAGTTATGACTTAAAGGCCAGAATAGTGATGCTGTCTAGGGTCCCACCCTGGGAACCACCCCCAGGAAAGCTCTCATCTTAACTCTCAGACTCACTGTGATCAAATCCTAGGCTAGATTTTGAACATCTGAAGGCAAACTCAATGGCATTGGCACAGAGCTTTGGCTGAACTTTTACTGAGTATCCTCTTTATAGAGAAAACTTTTGACTCTTTTAAGTCATATATGTTGGAAGCCAAGAATGGATAAATCCTGGATCTCTTAGTACAAGCATGTCAAACCCATGAGTTTGACATGCTTGCCTTGGCATTTGGTAAGTGGGTTGAGTTTCAGGTAATAGGCCTTCAGGGACTGGTAAAGACTATGTAAGGCTTGTCAGATGCAATTAATAGATGTGAAAATGTTTTTAAAAGTTAGACTGGCCCGGCTGGCATAACTCAGTGGCTGAGTGTACACCTATGAACCAAACGAGGTCACAGTTCGATTTCCAGTCAGGGCATGTGCCTAGGTTGTAGGTTCAATCCCCAGTGGGAGTCGTGCAGGAGGCAGCCAATCAATGATTCTCTCTCATCATTGATGTTTCTATCTCTCTCTCCCTCTCCCTTCCTCTCTGTAATCAATAAAAAAAATATTTTTAAAATAAGTTACAAGGCTCATATTACATGAAATATTATTCCTCCCTGTTCCCCTCCTCACCTATGTGTATAGAGCCTATAAGTTCTGTTAAACATCTCAAAGGAAGTGAGGTAGCCTCTAGGGGTTTGTTCCAAGGTTTTCTGCAAATTAGAAAAAGCAAAAAGGCTATTCAGAATCTGCGATTATTCTAAGGATGTTATCACTACCTTCCCATCCCTCCCCCAGAAAACAAGAGATGAAGGAGACAGATTAAACTGTTAATCTTATATGGCTTGAGGAAGCAAAGAGACTCTGAACAGTGACAAAGAAAAGTTCACTCAGTTATAATTTACTCAGCCTATTTGTAGTGGAGCTGCTACCTAAAAATAGGGCACCACTTTCCTAGCACCCTGATATGCCTGCCAAGTGAGTTGCTAACCAAACCTTCATGGTAATGACTCACCTGAAACTGGGGTAGAAATGTGATTTGGGTGGAGGCTCCCCCCAGATCCAGGATCCCCACAGTCTCCTGACTGTGGCCATGCAGCTGACCTGTGGATGAGAGCCAGTTTGAAAATGTTCTGCTCCTGGACAGCCCAATACTCCTCGGTCTGCAATTTCTTTCCTGCTCTGAGGAAATTCCATAAACACTTCATTGTTCCCTGCTCCCATGGATTACAGCAAATGTTAACCTAGGACTGGCTGCAGCTGAGGACTTGAAGGCAGCTTATAAACACCAAATCCTGTCTTTCCTTTCCTCTTTTTTACAAAAGGAAAGAACAATACAGGAAAAAAGAAAGGTAATTTTGCTCTCTGACCCTGTGTGAAATCCAGTCAAAATCTTAAGATACACTTGAGAATGTATTACCTGTCAGAAAATTCACAGTAATCCAAGCTAATATGCCTAAAAAAGACAGAGAGACAAGGATTACATTACAGAGCACTTTCCCTCTTCTCTGGCCCCATCTCTGTTCTCTTTTCTCTCTAAAGTTCATGTCTAAAGCACACACTTCCCTTCTCCTTATCCTACCATTTCCTGCCATTCCATTCCTCCATGCTTATTTGTTTCTCCTTAGTTCCTTTTTCTTCAGCACCCCCATCCTGTTCACAGTCCTTTAATCAGATCTTTTATTAACCCTGGCCCTTTCTCTCTAGAACATATATCAACACCTCTCCACCTTCATGGGATCCATCCATGATGCTAACACTGTCATCTGGTACCAGGAAAGGTGACTTCTCGAAGATCTCTTTTACCTGGAGAAAAAAAAACAATATTTGAATTCCCTAAGGCAATGAAATCAATTTCCATATTTTGGCTATATCCTAAAAAGCTTAGAAAACTACTCTCTTCATTTTCCCTAAATAAAATCTTAGAACTCATTAATTTTCTCTAAAGAAACTAGAGAAGGCCCAGTGGTGTGACTCAGTGGTTGAGCATGGACGTAAGAACCAGGAAGTCAGGGCATATGCCCAGTCTGCAGGCTGGTTCCCCAGTAGGTAGCCAATCAATGATTCTCTCATCATTTATGTTTCTATCCCTCTCTTCTCCCTTCCTCCTTCTGAAATCAGTAAAAATATATTTTAAAAAAACTATGCAAGTTATTAGTGATTTATTATAAAAAGAAAACACAGGAGTTCCCTTGAATTTAAAATAAACTGCAACCAACCAAATTATCTACATTTATAGGTGAACTGGACCTAGGAAAGGGCATACATTTGACTTTGCCAGCTCAAATCAGGATCCTATAATTTTTTAAAACACCTGCTTAATTCTACCTGAATATGTGCTGGAAGCTAGGAGGATCCCTGCCCACTCCATTTCTTAGATGAACAGATACATTTGGAGAGTAGAAAAGAGTTGGGCTTGGGGGGCTCCTGAGACTACAATAGTTTCTGCTGCTCTCCTATCAAATTTTGTAGTTTTTGTCCTTCGTGGTAAAGGAGCTCATGTCCCTGGGCTGAGGTACTCTTCTCCTAGCCCCTGTCAAATCCTGGCACATGGCTGGGGCCTCAAAGGAGTCTAGAGAGATCCCAAATCTAAATTTATTTATTCTATTTTAGAAGATGAGAATGAAGAGCTTGCACAAATGCTCTTGACTCCCTATAAATATAGGTCAATAATATGGGTGTTATGTCTTATTTTTATACCAGTGGCTCTGCACATGAATCTGTGTGCAAGTAGCTCACTGCCACTTGCCTCAGCTGGCCGCCCCGCCCACTGCCACTAGTAGCTCTCTGCCGCACTTAGCTCAATGCCCTGCCCTCCTGTAGCTTTCTGCCCTCTTCTAGCTCCCCACTGCTTATAGCTCGAAACTCTGCCCTCCTGCTGATCGGTCATTACATGATGGTGTCCCGACCAATTTGTATATTACCCTATTAAAACTATAGATGATTATCATGTTGGGGAGAGAGAGGCTCCAAATAGAAATAAGAAAAATTCTAGTCTTGGTTGTTCTCATTTCTGAAAGAATACTTCATGCAGTGACCTCTGAACCCTATTTCAACCAGGAAATGCCAGTTAAATGGTCCATAAACAAGCATTTAAGAACATAGATAAGCCATAAGTGGTTTGGCTCAGGGAATAGAGCACTGGCTTAGGGACTGAAGGGTCCCAAGTTCAATTCCAGACAAGGGTATATGCCTGGGTTGCAGGCTTGATCCCCAATAGGGGATGTGCAGAAGGCAGCCAATCAATGATTCTCTCATCATTGATAGATAAGCAAACAGGAATAAACAAAGTTTGTGCTCTTGTCCTTTCCACTCCAGGCCTCTGCTCGCAATTAATTCTCAACACAGCAGCCAAGAATGGTGCTTTAAAAATAGACATCAGATTATGTCTCTCTTTAGCTCAAGCCCGCCTGTGGCTTCCTTCTTAGAGAAAAAGGCCTTACATGGCCTTTGATGTCCTATCACTTCCTCTCCTCCAGCCACCCTATCCTGGATGCTGTCCCTTTGTACATGTCAAGCACATTCCTGATTTAGGTCTTTACACCTGTTTCTCTAACACAGAATATTCTATATTCACAAATATTTTACATAGCTTGTTTCTTTAGTCCATTTAGATCTCTGATCAAATGCATCTTACCAATGAGGTCTTCCCTGACCACCCTATTTAAAATAGCATTTCTCCCACACTACCACTAGCATTCCTATCTGCATTACCCTGCTTTATTTTTTTGTCATAGCTTTTAAAGCACCTGACATACTTTGTATTGACTTGTTCATTTTGTCTTGGAAACTAGGATGTGAGTTCCATTAAGACAGGGACAGTGTTATTTTTGTTTCCTGCTCTATGTCTACTTCACCAGTGCCCAGTACATAGTAAAGCACTCATATGATAAAAAAAAAAAATGAGTGAATGAATGGATGAATAAATGAAGAATTGGAATTCAGATTCTCATAAGGACATTCCAGGCAGTTTGTCCTTGGGCAAGAGACTTAAGCCATCTGTACTGACAGTCAAAGGAGAATCTATAATAATAAGAGTGTAATATGCAAATCGACTGGACAGCCAAACAGCAGAATGACCGTCCAAACAACCTTCTGGACGAAGCCAGGGCTGTGAGGGCCAAGGCAGCTAGTGCTGCGAAGGCCAAGCCCCTTGCACGAATTTCGTGCATTGGGCCTTTAGTGGATTTATAAGACTGAATTAACACACCTAAACATAGAATCATTTTTTTGCTGTGATTTTTTGGAATTCTGCATGTATTCTTCACAATATTAAGTATTAATCTTATTAATTTACACATTTTTATATAATAAAATGTACGATAATGTTTAAAATAGAGTTTTTTTTAGAATTCTCTGTACTTAGTTTTGATCTGAATGTGCAATGAAATACATATCTTTAAAAATCTTTTATACTTTACAATTCCATGATTCTTCTCAAAACCGTTATACTGAGAGAAAAAAGTAAGACCCACAAAAAAAAAGAAATATAAACTGTATGACTCCATTTATAGAAAAATGTAAGAACTTGCAATACTAATCTATACTGACATAAAGCAAATCAATGGTTGCCTGGTTTCACTAGAGGGAGAAATTGACTACAAAGGGGCACAAAGAGTGGTATGTATTTGTCAACACTCATTTAACTGTATACTTAAAAATGAAAAATTTAATTGTATGTAAGTTACTCCTCATTTAAGTTACTTAAAAACAATTCTGCTGTAATAAGTTTAGAAAATTATGAGCATCATGATCATGGCCAGTGTGGCTCATTAAATTGGGTGGTTTCCAGTGCATCAAAAGATCATCAGTTTGATTCCTGGTCAGGGCACATGATTAGGTTGTGGGCTCAATCCTCAGTAGGGAGCATACAGGAGGCAGCCAATCTACGTTTTGCTCTCACATTAATGTTTCTCTCTCTCTTCTCCTCTCTCGAAAAATTGATAAAGATATATTTTTAAAAAAGAACATCATGGATAGAAAGTGCTTTAAATTTTATAGAAAAAACTCTATAAATTCAAGAGTAATATTTTAAAATATAAATAACTAGCTACAAAAGAGCCCAAAATCACCACAATGCTTTAGCAATGGTGGAATACTGAAGGTTAACATGCCAGATGGCTTTAAACCCAGAAAGAAAATGTTAATATAGGGGGAAAGAATTATCCAAGATGCAGTTGATTTCAAATATTACCTCAAAGAGCAGAGCCTGGGCTTTCTCTTCTGGCAGTAAGCGCAGTCCTGCTGTTGCCTTCAAAACCACTGGGGTCCTTTTCCAATGACTTCGGGGGATTGAGTCTTTGGCTACCTCCAAGAGCTCTTGAACAGTCTCAGCACCCTGCAGAAAGAGAAGAGCCACGCATGCAGTAAAGAGTCCATGTGGTGGCACTTGTATATTCCCTCATCATGTCTCAGTAGGAGCAGAAACCTAGAGAAATAGGCTTCTTTGAAGGAGAATCCATTTCATTTTGGTTAAGTAGTAATAAAAATGATTCTTTTATAATGTGGTCATTTTAATTGATTGCTATTTTGTGTCTATATAAGTTAGTTTCAGGCCAGAAAGTTGCATATAGTGAAGGAAACACATAATTAGGAATTAGAAGGCTTGCTTGCTAACCCTGTGCCTAACATAGAGGCTTTCTGAACTTGACTTCCTCAACTGTGAGATGGGATATATTCCCTGTATCACTACAAACTGCTATGTACATTACATGAGGCAGACTGTGTGTAGTTTCCACACAAAGACCAGCTGTAGCTGTTATTATGCTACACTTCATATGATTTCCATTAGGACAGAATATGTCAGGTTCATTTTTACATCACTAACACCTACGTTCATGGTACACAGTAATGTCTAATTTATGATTAATTCAAAAGCATTATTTTAAATCCTCCATTTCCCTGAGTAAACACCTATCCTGATACATGCTGCCTCTTATAATCATTATAATTAATAGCAACCATAACACAATCTTCTTCTCTAAATGTCAATTCAGTTTTTGATAATGTAATTGCTTTTCAAGAGCTCCTAGTTTTCTAGCATTTTTGCCATTTTAAAACAGTGAGCTGAGAAACATCCTCTCAGTTCTTCAAGTTCGAACCATTTTTAACATTAGGTTTCCCTTTGGTTAATGATTATGCTTGAGACACTGAATAATATCTTTACAGCTGCTACCAAAGTTCAACATTCTATTTTATTCTGACTTATTCTATTTTAATGTGGCCTCTGACACACTGGGTTTTGCATGTTGTAGGTGCTCCAATGTGAAACATAGACACAACAAAACCATTCATCCTCTGCTGCCAAAGATTTTTTCATCACACATTCTTGCCTATTTTCCAGAGTATAGGCATGGTCTGCTTATATCAAGGTATACTGAAAGGAATCCAGGGGTCCACATTCCATAAATTGTCATGTTTATATCTCATACCTTATAGAACTTCATGTCCATATTCTACTTCTACATTAATTAATACAGCTGATGGCTTCAAATCAAAATCTTAAACAGTAAATACAAAGAGAGAAATCTCTTAAAGAGATTCTAGCCTCCTTTTACCAAAGCCCTAGTGAGTTCAGGATATATAATTTCTGTTATCCAGGAGATTAGCAGAGGACAGAAAACCGATCTCACACATAACCTCCGTATCAGTAGTAAATAGCACGAGATATTTAACAGCAGCTGTGTGGTAAAATTATCAATATATTAAGAATCTAAACATTTTATTGTAATTGTAAAAAACAAAACAATAAACTCACCTGCTTAGGTTGATCTACAAAAGCAGAAAGTCCCGGCTTTACAGACTCAAAAATTTCCCCTTCCAGAACTGGAAGCTGTCCTATTTTGTTCAGGGATTAAAACAGAAGAGAGATGACTGATTACCAAAAATTAGGCTGCTTCTGATATTGGGCTCTGTGTCATATGACCTACTAGATTAACCTGCTATTCCCTGAGCTATTCCAGGTAATCCCACCTGTGGGGAATGGCTGGCAGGAGTATTGAGGAGGAGGACAGAGGATGATAGGCAATCCTTGAGAGTCCCTCTGTTGTTTCTCTGGTGGACACCTAGTTCCTACTCCTTTCCCTAGGCTTTATATGTAACTTGAAGACAGAATCCTGGAAATTCAGAAAAAATTATACTTCCGGATCCCTTCTCCTTCTCTAAGTAATCCTTCTCTCAAAACTACCCCAATATTCTCAATATTCTGCACCTGGAAGTAACAACCACCTTTCAAGAAAAGGAAAGACAGCCAAAACTGGTTTGGCTCAGTGGATAGAGCGTCGGACTGTGGACTGAAAGGTCCCGGGTTCGATTCTGGTCAAGGGCATGTATCTTGGTTGCGGGCACATCCCCAGTAGGAAGTGTGCAAGAGGCAACTGATCAATGATTCTTTCTCATAGATGTTTCTAACTCTCTATCCCTTTCTCTTCCTCTCTGTAAAAAATCAACAAAAATATTTTTTTTAAAAGAAAAGGAAAGACAAATTTTAGCTATACTTCTTGGACATATGGGTTTCAAACTACAGGCAACCCAGATCTCTCTTAATCTCACATTGAATTAAACATTATATACTCTAGTCCAAAATGTTCTCTGAAGAAAGACATTCCATAGTCATAAGATTCTGTAATGCACATTACACTCTCAGTACATTTATTTCTACTAGAGTATGGATTTATTGACTCTGGTGAGGGTACCAGTTGCCCTTACCTGTTATTTTCTGCACAAAGGTGTAAACATGAATTCGTGTTCCAGTGCTCCCTGCATCAAACATAATTCCATACAAGGTGCTGGTACTGACATTGATGGGACACATGGAAGACAGGAAGACACCCTCAAACCAAGTCTGCTGGTCTCTGTGGAAGATAGTGCTGCAAACACAGGATGCTACCAACATGAAAAAGGCTGCTCCCCAGAAAGTGGCCATTCTCTTCCCAAGACGTGGTGAGTCTAGCCCTGTGTTGCAGAAGCAGTGCTGCTCAAACACCTGCAGTGGCTTAAAGGACAAAGCCATACAAGGTTAGATCAAGTGGCCTTTTTGTTTACACCTGTAAAAGAAGAAACACCCATCACAGAAGTACCACCCCTTTCCTAAGGTGCCCCTTCTTCTCTGTTTCTAATAACCAGAACAACCAGATAGACCAAGGTGACACAGACTCTGAGGACCTTTTCTGAAGGCTATCTGGTTGCAAAGGGAAATCTGGGATTTAAATTATATTTAACCAGGCTCTGCTTTTAATTGTAGAGTGGATCTCACATATACAAAGGCTCTCTCTGACACCTTGCTCCTATTGTGGAGTCCAATTTTCTTATCTCCATTTTGACAACTTTGTCTTTAGAGCATGTACTAATCCTCTCTCCCTGCTACCTTTCTTTTTTCTTTTTCTTTTTCTTTTTTTTGATATAAGAAGCTTCAATTTCTGAATTAAAGTTATAAAGTTCCAAAGGAGTTATGAAGTCCCAGTACTGGAGTGTTTCCAGACTTCAAAAATCAGGTTATTGGACTGACACATGTGACCAACAATGTTGACACTGGCTTGCACATGCAACCACATCTCAAGGAAATAATTAACTTAATTTAAATCATTTAAATAGGTCGTTATGGTTTTTGTTTTCTTTATTTTTCATTCATTATGGTTTTTAAAATATCCTTCACAGGTTTCAAGCTATGTTATGCCCATAAGAACTTAGGGCAGATGGACAAATTAACACAGAGGCATTCAATAACTTGCTGAAAGTAATAAAGCAGGTCAATGGTGAGATTTTATTATTATTATTGATTTCAGAGAAGAAGGATGAAAGAGAGATAACAACATCAATAATGAGAGAATAATTGATCAGTTGCCTCCTGCATATCCCCTACTGGGGATCAAGCCTACAATCTGGGCATGTGCCATTGACTGGAATTGAACCTGAGACCCTTCAGTCCACAGGCCAATGCTCTATCCATGGAGCCAAACTGGTTAGGGCAATGGTGAGATTTTATCAGAAAACAGTCTTTACTCTTGCCAACATTTCTTCTTTCCTGATTTAAAAGTGCATCTCTTATGGCAAGTTACTCCTATATTTCTTTATGTGTCCTTAGCAAAGGCATAAAACTCTGTACTAGTGCTCAGCATTCTTTGTTTTGAATTTGTTATGATAGGTTGATAGGTTGAATATAATTGATGAAAACCTAGAGTAAGGTAACACAGAAAAATGTCTCCTGGATAGGCTGTATTTCCCCCTAGGATTAATGAAGAATGCTAATGCTATATCTATCCTCTAACATTTTTTAATCCTCACCCGAGAATATAGTTTTCATTGATTTTTTTTTTTTTTTTTTTTTTTTTTTTCAGAGAGAGAGTGTGGAAGGGAAAGAAGGCGTGGGAGGAGATAGTGAGAGAAAAACATCTGTTGGTTGCCTTACGCACTTGCTTCCACCAGGCCTGGGGACCGAACCTGCAACCCAGTTACATGCCCTTGATTGGAATCAAACCTGAGAGCCTTCCGTGTATGACTAACACTCTACCAAGCATGTCAAACTCAAGGTCATGGCCGCATGCCTCATTGCACTGAGCACACGGGACAGGTCTATCCTCTTAACATTTAAGGCTTCCTTAACTGCCCCTTATGTACTTTGCTCAAAACATTTTTTAAATAATTTTTTTACTCCTCACTTACAGTGGACATACAATATATATTAGTTTCAGATGTATATCCCAGTGATCAGACCTTATATAACTTACTAAGTGATCATTCTGATCTCAAACCCATTTGACATTATACATAGTTAATAGGATATTATTGACAATATTTCCTATGCTATAATTTACATCCCCATGATTATTCTGCAACAACCAATTTATACTTTTTAATCCCCTCACCTTTCCTCCCTTATCTTCCCAGCCATCCCCAAATTTGGCAACCACTGACAATGTTTTCTGTATCTATAAGTCTATTTCTGTTCTGCTTGTTTATCTTGTTTTTTAGATTCAATTGTTGATATGTATTTATTGCGATTTGGTCTTCTTCTTCTTTTTCTTCTTCTTCTTCTTCTTCTTCTTCTTCTTCTTCTTCTTCTTCTTCTTCTTCTTCTTCAAGAAGACACTTTAATATTTCATGTAATAATGTTTGATGGTGATTAATTCCTGTAGCTTTTTCTTGTCTAGGAAGCCCTTTTTCTCTTCTTCCATTATAAATAATAGCTTTTCTAGGTAGAGTAATTTTGGTTGTAGGTTCTTGCTTTTCATCACTTTGAATATTTCTTGCCATTCTCTTCTTGCCTGCAAAATTCTGTTGAGAAATCAGCTGACAATCTGATGGAAGCTCCCTTCTAGGTAACGAACTGTTTTTATCTTGCTGCTTTTAAGATTCTCTTTATCTTTAACCTTTTGCATTTTAATTTTTATGTGTCTTGGTATGGGCCTCTTTGGATTCATCTTGCCTATTTCCTTCACCAGGTTAGGGAAGTTTTCTGTCATTTTTTCTCAAATAGGATTTCAATTTCTGTTTGTTTTTCTCCTCACCAGAGGATATTTTTTCCATCCACTGATTTTTAGACAAAGAGTGGAAGGGAGAGGGAGAGACAGAGAGAAATACTGATGTGAGAGAGATACAGTGATTGGTTGGTCAGGGCCAGGAGTCTGCAAATGAGGCATGTACCCTTGATCAGAGTCCAGAATCAAAACCAGGACTCTTCAGTCCACAGGTTGATACTCTTATCCACTGAGCAAAACTGGCTAGGGCTCAATTTTTTGAAAAATATATATTTTTATTGATTTCGGAGAGGACTGGAGAGGGAGAGCTAGAAAAATCAATGATGAAAGAAAATCATTGATCAGCTGCCTCCTACATGCGGCACACTGGGGATCAAGTCCACAAACTGGGCGTGTGCCCTGACCAGGAATCGAACAGTGACCTCTTGGTTCATAGGGCAACACTCACCCACAGAGCCACACCGGCTAGACGGTTTTCAATTTTTTTTTTTTTTTAATATATCTTATTGACTTTTCACAGAGAGGAAGGGAGAGAGGTAGAGAGCTAGAAACGTCGATGAGAGAGAAACATCGACCAGCTGCCTCTTGCACACCCCCCACTGGGGATGTGCCCGCAACCAACGTACATGCCCCTGACCATACATGCCCCTGACCGGAATCGAACCTGGGACCTTCCAGTCCGCAGACTGACGCTCTACCACTGAGCCAAACCGGTTTCAGTGGTTTTCAATTTTTTGTTCTCTCTCTTCTACTTCTGGCACTCCCTTATTCAAAGTTGTCCCAGTGACTCCTTATACTATCTTCATTTTTTTGGAGGGTGATGGGAGGGGAATTCTCTTTTCTTTTTGCTGTTCTGGTTGAGTGTTTTCTGCTTTCCTTATATTCCAAATCTCCAATTTGATTCTGCTTCACCTACTCCACTGTTGACTCCCTATAATGTATTCATTTCAGTCAGTGTATTCTTCATTTCTGACTGGTTCTTTTTTATGTTTTCTATCTCTATTTTTATATTTCCTACCTCTTTGTTGAAGTTTTCACTAAGTTCATTGATCATATGTATAACCAGTGTTTTGAACTCTGCATCTAGTAGTTTTTTCCATTTTGTTTAGTTTTTAAAAATATATATATATTTATTTTTTACAGAGAAGAAGAGAGAGGGATAGAGAGTTAGAAACATAGATGAGAGAGAATCATCAATCAGCTGCCTCTTGCACACCCCCTATGGGAATGTGCCCACAACCAAGGTACATGCCCTTGACCAAAATCGAACCCAGGACCTTTCAGTACACAGGCCAACGTTCTATCCACTGGTTTCGGCTAGTTTTTTTTTGTTGTTGTTTGTTTGTCTGTTTGTTTGAGTTTGGTTCTGTTCTTTCCTTTGGAACATGTTTCTTCGTTTCCTCATTTTGGCTGCCTCCCTGTGTTTGTTTCAATCTATTAGGTTGAGCTGCAACATCTCTCTGACTTGGTAGAATGGCCTTATGTACTAGGTGTTCTATCGGGTCCAGTGGCACAGCCTCCCTATGCACCTGAGCTGGGCATTCTAGGTGCACTGTTGTGGGAAGCCACTGCTTTTCCAATATTGTCATAAGAGTGCACCAAGGAATGCGGAAGGCCGATGGGCCTTGGATGTTAGCAGGGTTGTGTTGAGATAGTGGTGGCTTGAAGCAATTTCTTGACCTAATAGCCTCAAAGTAAATGTTTATTAAACCTTACTGATCTTTATTAACCTTAGAGATTATCTGTCTGTTACCTGTTTGCTGTGCTTTAATGAGGGCAAGATGTGTATCTAAAATTGAATAAAAAGCAGGTAAGGCCAGGTTTGAGTGTGCCTCTCCAAGAGAGAGGTCTCCTCCTGGCCCCCATGCCTTCTAAATTCATATTTCTTGTCTATGTTTTCATTTGTGCATTGGCCCCTTCTTCAGATCCTGAACCCCTGCCGTAAAAGGTTGCGGCACACTGTACTCTCCTATCCCAGACCCAGATGAGCTGTGTACACCCTCCTGTATAATTGAGCCTTGATTGCTATATATACGATGGGAGGGATTTATCTCCTAGGCCAATCAGCTGCAAGAACTGTTGAAGATCACCAATGACTGTGGAAGATCAGTTGTGCAGGGCCCACCCCACAGAGCAAGACTTACTTCAGCGGGGCTTGGTGCCTGCTGAGTTCACTTCTGAAGTGTGTCACTTCAGTGCTTCAGTGTGGTCTGAAACTGTCCACTGGGTGCACTGACTTTGGGCCTCCCAGGAGGTTCAGACCAAGGTCAGCTGCTGCCTAGGGCCACCCACTATGAGCTACAAAGTGATCTGTAGATGGCTGCTACTTGTGCTGAACTTGGAGGTGCCCTGACGAGACCAAGCTGCAAACAAAGGCTCCTATTACTAGTGCTGGACCTGTGGCCACTTTAGAGAGAGGTATGGGGCACACTGAGGCCAGCTGCTGCTT